AATCCCTCCAGCATGTTCTGGATCTGCCCTGGGGCCTCCTACCAGTGGGACGTGCCTGAACCACCTTCAGCGGGGAAGCCCAGGAGGCATCCTGATCAGATGTCCGAACCACTTCAACTGACCCCTTTCAACACGAAGGAGCAGCGGCTCTACTCTGAGCTCCCTCCAGATGTACGAGCTCCCCACCTGTTCTAAGGCTGAGCCCAGACACCCCAGAGGAAACTCCTTTCAGCCGCTTGTATCCGTGACCTCATTCTTTCGGTCACTACCCAGAGCTCATGACCGTAGGTGTGGGTTGGGACATAGACTTAAGTAAAATATCTCAATATTTCTTCCACCACTGGCGACAGCATTCAGTGACATTTTAGACAATATTGCGCTTTCAGTTTTTTGTAGGTCCTTTTGGGGAAGACCCTTTCCTGTTACAGCATTACAAAAATCTGTGCATGGGGAAAAGTCCAGCGTCACACCTCACTAATGTTCTTGTGGCTGAACAGGATCAAATCCCTGCAGACAGGCTCCAAAGCCCTCTGAGTGGAAGCTGCTTTAGTGGCATAATAATGACAAACAATATTAACGGCCTGTCTTTGTCTATCACCTGAGCAATTTGAAGCCTTTTCCACCTCTTTATTTTTACATCCACAATCACTGTCAGCATGTCACGATCTTGTCCTTGCCATGGAGTGCACAATTTGTTAAAGCTGTCACAACAGCCCCTGCCGACACACGCAAGCTCACAGCATGATAAGGAGCTGACAGAGATAACTTCTGAAATTAAGTCAGGTGAAGGAAGAGGACGAGGTGACGACGAAGCTGCGTGAGGCCTGTTGGAGTGTGATGAGGTGTATATGGAGTCGGTGTGTCTTCCACCAGGGGAAATCAACGGAGGGCAGAGAGCATGGAAAAACCGAGGGCGGGGAGGAGTCGTGGCCAACAAGCATAAAATCCTCTCATTAATAAAATCTGCTGATGAAATTAGAACATCTTGATCAGTCACACATGCAGACACGCACGCACACAAACACGCACACACAAAACGATTTCTTTCCCCCTAATCTTCTCCTCCATTGACAAATTATGTGGTGAATTTCCACATTTGGAAATATTGAGTTTTGTGTGCAGGTCATTGGGGGCTTATCATTTTATTCTAGTTGGCAAACACACTGTCTGCTCAAAAGAAGGTCACAGGTTCAAAAGCCGTGTGTTTCTATGCGCAAACATGCTAGCACACTGTTTACATTCAAAGCTAAAAGCTGTAAATGATTACCAGCTAAAATCAGAGAATACACCACTCTTGTTTTTACTCAAACATTTGGTTTATTAGAAATGCCTTTTAAAATGTACCATAATACTACAAAAACATAATGGTTAGCACCAAAGACACATAGGTTTCCATCTTCAATACACAGTATAAAAATACCTTTACAAATAGCACTTTTTCTCTGGCAGGTAAACATGCAGTCGTGATCAGAAACACAACGTCCCCCAAACAATAAAAACATTATGTACAAATAATTGGCAGAATATTGTGCTTGATTCTTCATATTTAATACAAATGACAAAACTATATCCATGGTAATAACCCAATATAGACGTGCTTGCATAGTTATCGTGTGGACAGATGAGAGGAGTTCTAAAAGTAAAAGTCCTAGTCATTTTCTGCATATACAGTATAGTAGATGCAGTTAGAGCACTTTCAAGGCTTCGATGGGGATAAAAATCTCCTGGTAAAATTCATTCATTTTAACCAAGTCAAAAAAAATCTGCTTCTTACATACAAGACCGTGTACATAAAAACTTTAGGAGAGACGTCAGCTTTAACTCCTCATGAGCACCACAGTAAAGACAATGTATCACAGAGCATTGTTAAAGGCTGAAACCAGTCGTATACATTATTTTAAGTTGCTTTTTCTGCTTTTGGTCTAGATTTCCATGCTTCCTGAATTAGCTGCCATGCAATGTTGCTGTTATTTTGATTAAAAAAGGGTTAAAAGTAAAGTTTATGCCATGTTGAAATCGAGAACTCAACAACTTTGCATGAATTCAGCACTCATGGTGAAGTGTTTGTTCCTTTTTAAAGCTCCGATTTGTGTCTCTGAAAGGGCTGCACGATATGCAAAATTAGAATTACTGCCTAGTGACTATAAGCCTCCATGAACCAATTGCAAAAACATGGATGCTTCACACACGTCTTCCCTCCTGCAGCACTGAACATCTACATAATCAGCACGGTTTCAAGGTGATACCTGAGATTAGTGTCACCATTTTAGCTTCTGACCAAATGTGCCCCTTCTGTTTCCAAGTTGAGACGTTGAGTCATGGCCAGACAAGTGTTTTCATAGAACATTATGATGTCACAGTGACGCTGACCTTTGACTTTTTGGATATCAAATGTCATCACTTTATCATTTTATCCTATTAGACATTTATGCAAAACTTTGTCAGTATTAGTGAAGTAATTCCTGAGTTATGGCCAAAAATGTGTGAGGTCACAGTGACCTTGACCTTTTCAGCTTATTCTTGAGTCCAAGCAGATGTTTGTGCCAAATTTGAAGAAATTCCCTGTAGGTGTTGTTGAGATGGTTAGGGTTAGGGTTAGGGGTTCTCAAGAATAAGATGGATGCAAGGTCACGGCAACCTTGACATTCAACCACTGTAATTTAATCAGTTCAAGCAGCGTTTGTGCCAAATTTGCCAAAAAAAAGTATCCCTCAAGGTGTTCTTGAGATACAGCATTCAAGAGAATGGGATGGACATATGGATGGTAGGACATACGGATGGATGGACATATGTATTGACCGACGACACAGCCAGCGCCGGTATGGAGGCATGAAATAAATAGCATCGTGATTATTTTGACAGATTGTTATACAAGTCTTGATTTTAGTGGGAATGGTAATTTCTGCATTTTATTTCCACTGAAAAAATATAAAAATGATGATGATGTGATTTTTGCTGAGGTCTGTGCCAAACAATCATGTTCCCCTTTATCAAAAAATTGTAGTTCCTGCAATTTGTATATTGCACTTGGCCATTATTATTATTGATTATTGCGATTTTGATATTATTCTGATTACATACGGAGCCCTAGTCTCTGGTTTTCGTCTGCTTCTTAATACTACAGTATTTAGAGCCATCTGTGAACCAAACTGACCGAAAAGACACCATTTCTCAGAAACAAAGCTGAAATAATAAATTAGAAGTTACTTCAACCAGGCGACTACTTTGCAGGGTTTGGTCGTATTACTTTGACATGTAGCCAGTTACTGAAGACAAATTACATGGCTTTTTTTTTTTTTAATTTAGTAATGTAATCCATTGGATTACAAATGAAACGGAATCTAATCTGAATACTTCTGGATTACTTTACAATCAAGTATTGAAAATACTGCACCTTATACTAAAAACCAGAGCCACAAAAACTTGAGTTTCACAAATATCAAATAGTCTTTTCTCTCAAAACATTTTCAATGGAAATAAAAAGCATTTCGCATATTTAGCATTTACATTTGATCAAATCAAATTACCCTTACAAAAACACAACTGGCACAGACTATAGGTGTACTTAACTCTTTATGTGGGACATGCTGTTAATTAATCAATTAACAGAGCACTGGTTATCATAAAGAAAGTCTTATAATTCTAAAACTGCCATATTTTTAAGGCATAATCAAAAATGTTAAAGTGTTTCTTGACAATGTAACTATAATCTAATTACGCATCTTTTTAAGTTTGACCTGGGCTGATTACAGTTACTTATTTTTTCTGTTTACTCCCCAACCCTGCTCCTGTGCTTACTTGTTGACGAACATTACAGTAAGATTATCATTAGAAGAAAATTTTCAAATGCTCATTTTCATGTACAAAGGAGAAAATACTTCCAGAACTCACAACTCTGCCCACTTCACTACTTTACTAAGTAGACAGTAAAACAGTCCTTACATCTGAGGAGTGAGCAAAAATAATAAAAACACCTTATATCTCAACATCCTTGCAGTAACTACCAGTACAGTGAAGGTCATAAAGGCTGTAGTTTGGACTGTGCGTTAACAAAATGCACTGTTGTGTGTATTTCATTCAGTGTTGCTGAGGTTCTGCTTGTGTTCCTCTTTGCTGATGAAGCTTTCATATTTTTGGTTGTCATGATTTTTATATTTCTCTCTTTGACACCTACTGCAAATCATGATAACAAAGGCAGCCGCACAAGTGAGTCATAGTAAGTAGAATGCCAATCAGCAGTAAATGTCAGCTTAAATGGAGCTGAGAACTGATCAGATTTTATTGATAGCAGTTCAAATATCGATTCTGCTTATCTTATCAGATTCTTTATTGATTCCTCATTGATTCCTGATCAATTTTCTGTATGGAAACAACTGTTTAATTATCTTCTCTTGAGTCTGAACAGTGTAGATCAACAGAATATTTGTATGGCTTTCATTTTAGTCTTGGTTTTCTGGCCTGTTTTGGGTCAGTCTGTTTTCGGGCTCCAACCTGTCTGGACAGAACATTTAGTTTGTTCCAAGAGCTCAGATGATCATTCCAGCAAACCTTCTCAGAGCTCCAGGGCCCCCAGCCAAGCACATGCCTGCTCACCCCTTTCCCCAAAACTGATCTGTTAATATCTTAACATGTCCAGATAAGGCCAGGAGCAACCTCCCACAACTTCTTCCTGATATACAGAGAGCGACTCTGGCGGATGGAGCGCAAAGAAGTGTCTAGACATACACACGTCAACAACATTCCGGGAGTCTAGTACGCTTAGGAAGAGGTGTGAGGCAAAGCTGCTCGTGTTATCATAACACAGGATACTGATAGGACATGCGGCTCAGTTGGCAAGCAGTAGCACTCGTGTGTCAAGTCCATGTTGCATCAAAAGATGCATATTGATGGGGTTTTCATCACAGAGTGTAAAAATAAAGGACGTAGCCACTGTGATGTTACCCATCGGTTTGTGGATCCTGTTTTGAAGCCTTGAGTTTGCCATTTTGGTCGTTGCTATCTTGTTTTTTTGGAACCAGAAGTGACCATATTTGGATGAGAGGGTTAAGCTCTGGAGGATATAAAAATTCACTCCCCGTACAATTGTCATAAAGGAGGAAATTAGAAACATGGAGGTCTATGGAGACTGACTTGCTCTTGGAGCCAGCCTCAAGTGGCCACTCAAGGAACTACAGTTTTGGCACTTCCGTGTTAGCCTTATTTGTCGGCCCCCGGGGTTGCCCTTGGTTTCCACCCTAACTTGACATGATCGTTTTACAGACATTACAAGCTGCACAGGGCAGTACCTTAACTTGTTTTGCACACAGCACTGGTGCTATAGAGGCTGAAAGTTCTGCAGCACAGGCCACAGAATTGAAACAAGAGTATAGAAGTGTCAAGTCAATTCTAGTTTCAGTCAACTGGAACTGGTTCTCAATTTCTTTCCCTACTGACAATCACCATTGTTATTTGTGATTTTTTTTAAAGGCAATTTGAAGCACAGGGTTAGAAAACAGGATTAGATGGTTGCAGCCTGCATCGACGGTGAGTCAGACTCAGGTAATTAGGACATAAACCAATCATGAGAAACCTCATTAGCGAAGGGGAATGCAGGTCACGTGTAGACCTTTTTCCTTCTTAATGTAATCAGTCAGATCAAGGACAAGGTTTAACGACTGCAAAATAAAGTGAATCTGCATCAAGTGCTTTGTTACTGTTGTGGATTTGTAAAACAGCTGTATTGTTTCATCAGAAAATTCTCAACCATCACTGCCTAACAGAAAGAAATTCATGTCCGTTTTTTCCCCCCCCAATATTAGGTGGAGTAACAGGCTCCATGTTGACGCATATAATGACTGAACACTACAAACTACAGCCTCGAAAATGAACACTGAGTTGAAGACACATTATGAGCTTCACCGTATTGGTATTTACCTAAGAAATATTGGATTACACTGTGAGGAGAGTCAAGTTATTTTTTCACTTCCTTTCTGTATGTAGATCTAGGTTTTATTATCTGTGTGCAGCATGACATGGATAAAGGTACTGAATGTACTTTACTACAATTCTGTGGTACAGTTAAACTGAGAGAATCAGGGTGAAAGCAAAGAAACTCTTCTCAGTGTGCAATTCAAAAAAAAAGAAATGTGTTTTTTTAACCTAATAACTCTATTTTGTCTTTTATTTGGAGAACATTAAGCAAGGAGGCACTCTGGGAACCCCTCTCAACCTGGGGTAAAGTTTGGTTGGGTTTACAGAAACAATAAATAAACAAAAACAAATCTTGACCATCAACATTTGACAAAATAATGACCTATAAAGTTATATAAAGGCTAACATTCCAGTGGCTGAGGAGGATTTGTCCTCAATCATCGTGCTGTCTTCAAGGGACGAGAACCTGCCCAACAGATCGCTCATTAGTCTGCATTCATTCAATACCTGACATCAAGAGTGTGTGGGTGTTTGTGTGTTTGTGTGTGTGTGTGTGTACCTTCGACATCCCCAAGGCAGAGCTCCTCACACTCCTCCAGGTGGAGGAAGCGGTTGTCGTTTCCTTCGCAGCCGCTGTAGATGAAGGGCCTGCAGGCCTGAACCTGACTGTTAAAGTACCAGCGCAGAGTGTATCGTCCACAGCTCCCCTCCTCCATGGGCAGCAAGCACAGGTCTGCCGGAGCTGCACAACACACACACACACACACACGAAATATATGCATGTACACAAAAACAAAAGAGCAAGACGGGCAAAAAAGGAGCAGAGGCTGTGCAGCGATAAAGAGCAAAAGACGACCAAAACAAGGATTCATGATACTGAGATCAATACTCAACCAATCCATTCATTTCAATAACATATATATATACATATATATATATATAGTATTATAATATATATATTTTTGATGCAAAGTAAATTATTAGCACTGATATTTTTTTGTCATTTGTATTTTATTTTACTGATCACATTTAAGCCTTTAAGTCAGCAGCGCAACAGCCAATGTAGCCTGAGACATGCAGAGAGGGCCAGACACCAGGCAGGCAGCATTAACCCTTAATAAATCCCGTAACACCACATGAGCTGGTTTACCTTCCCCCTTGACTCTCCTCTTGGACCTGACTGTTTTGGGCTTGACTGCTCTCAGAGGTGCTTTAACTTTGGCTGCTCTCTGACCATCAGCTGTTGCTGCTTTCTTAATGACAGCTGTGGCTGATTTGCTTGGTTCAGCTTTGACTGTTTTGACAGTGTCATCCTTGACAACCTCACCTGTCAACACACACACACATACACACACAGTCACACACAGTCACACACATACAGCATAGAGATATTCAGTATGAATAGAAAAAAAACATCATGTGTAAATGTGTTTAAAGATCATGATCTATGTGAAAGTTCACAGACTCAGAATGGTGTGTGCTCGCAGCAGACGTGTTTGTTATAAAACATGCAAGGCCAACATGATCTCGTGATGTCATGAAATGAGCACAAAGGGAAACACACACACTTAATATGGGACACGCTTCGCCAGCACAAATTGGATTACCTGCTGACTGAATAAACCGAATTCAGGGACATGAGTGCAATTTTGACACACCTTCTTGTGTTTATCACACGAAACAAACAAGTTGTACTGTAACAAATTTGGTTATGTTAATTGTTAGGTGGATGAAACAATTTAGGTAAAGGGGATTCCTGGTATTTGAAAACCTGGTTCTCATCCTCCTGAATGTTTGTACCTTGTGATTGTTAACATATTAACCACCACCTCCACTGCAGAGATTTGTAAAACCCAGTATATTTGTCATAGTAAACAGGTATATTAGGTTTTAATGTTGACACATTTCTTTGACGTTATGACAATGGTTTGGTCATTGTTAAGACATGTGCTTGAAAATCTCACATACAGGTTTTTAAGACAACATGCTCATTTCACAAATTTCATGCGAGACCAGGCTGGTTGAAGTAATGTTAGTGCTCGGTGTGTCAGAAAGTGCTATTTCACTATGTGACAGCATTAGACAAGGTATGAAACACAGTACCATCGCTCTGGTTGGCAGTGGGAGTGAAGTAAAGCAGCTCGTCCAAGGGGTCGTCGTAAGCCTCGATGGAGTAGATGTGCTCGTAGTCCGGGTCGTTGGTGTTCACCACCACACGCAGCTCTCGGCCTGAGAGAAATGTAATGTCACATAGGTCAGAGATCCTTCACCTCTGTCTGAATTCCTCCACGCTTTAGACAGAGAGAGGGCTCTCAACCATTATAGCTCAGTACAAGAAGTCTCTACATACAGTCCAGAATAATCAGTGAAACAGAGCAGTAATATCTGTATTTGTCTGGGTTTGATTAGAGATATAGAATACATGATGTGGGATGTAAACATAAATGGAGTCCTCTGTTTTCTTGATGAGAAAACCACCCATTGTTCAGAGATCTCCAGACGCAGTGCCACCACGTTAAACCTGTTTGTTAGGGAGATACACACGCAGACAGACACACCGATCGAGGCCGACAGGCAGAGCGATGGACGTACACACTCACCCTCCTCACCCTTCACGACCAGTTGATGCTCTGGTGCAGGCCGAGCCCTGATCGTAGGCTGGGACCGACTTATTGGGCCTGAACCTGAGAGAGCCAGATAGGACAAGAAGGAGCAAACAGGGACACCGAGGGAGCAGAGACAGGATTCAGGGAGCGAGAGGGACCAGGTATGTGTTACACAGGAGGGAGGAAAGGGGGCCAGGAAGGTAACATGAAGAAAAAAAAGACAGGACAGAACACTCTGGTAGTAAAACCTTCAGACATATGAGCCAACAACAACCCCAAAGCACCACAAAAATCCTTCCACCGTTCCAACACACACACACCAGCTAAAAGGATTTACAGAGTTTTTGTAGGGCTGCTCAACACAGGGCAATCTTCCAAAGACTGGCTGTAATCCTTTAAGGACTCAAGTCGCTGCTGTACGGACTTGTGTCGCACTCGAGTCAAACATTTTTTTGACTTGAGTCCAAGTCAAATCAGCACTGATTCAACTTCAGACTGCAGACTCAACCCACTGCTGATTATGAAACGAGTAGCTATGTCTTAGGTGATAATAAATAAATTAAACATGAGTGAAAAGTTGGTTTTGGCCTCGATCTCAGTTTAACACTGCATATTTAGTAACTGCTGCTTCACAACACTGATGAAGTCCTGCATTGATTAACAGCTCACAACAAACACAGAGTTCAAACTTTGGGAAAGTTGATCATTTTGGGGTTTCCAATAATTTTCTTTTAGAGGTCCAGTGTGTAGGATTCAGTGCCATCTAGTGGTGAGGTTGCAGAACAATTTCTCCTGTGTGGCAAGTGTGTAGGAGAACTATGTTCGTCGACATGGAAACATGAATGGCCTTATCTAGGGCCAGTGTTTGGTTTGTCTGTTCTGGGCTACTTCCATGGGGAAGGACTTGCTCCGTATGTAGGCAAAACTGCTCATTCTAAGGTAACGAAATAACAGCCTTATAATAGTTCTTATTTTAAGGTCGAAACAAACTAATGAAAACATAGTTTGGAATGTTATAAACCATTTCTGCTGATATAACACTTAAATCCTTTTTAATTTACTCTACATATGTAATGATATCCATTCTCATTGACTGGGTAAAGTGTAATGTTCAGTCCAACATGTTTATATAGTAAAAAAAAAAAGTAAATCCCTGTGCACAGCGGCGCAGTGCTTCTTCTAGGTGCCAGCTGGTGCAGGATAAATCACAGTCAAGAGTTCAAAAACTTCCAGCGCACACTAGAATATCAGGATTGACACAAAGTTTATTCAAAAATGTTTAACAACAAAAGGAGCGAACAACGCGTTTCGCTTGTTGCGTCATCAGATTCGCTGATCGCTCCTTTTGTTGTTAAACATTTCTGAATAAACTTTGTGTCAATCCTGATATTCTAGTGTGCGCTGGAAGTTTTTGAACTCTTGACTGTGTTTATATAGTACATTATAAAGTGGAAAACTCTTCCAGTTATCACGTCTGTCCAGATCAAATTGATCACTATAAGTACATTATTATCATAAACAAATGTTTTTCGATTTCTTTTTTTTCTCGTGCAGATTACAATCTAACCAACATTTGTACATTTATAACATGAATATAAAGTAAGGAGGGTCATTATGTGGACGAGGGCGGCTTAAAAAACAGGTACTTTCATTTTCTGTCTCCATCATTGGCAGCCACGAGTGTATCTTGGTGTTTTAGTGGACTACACAAGGTAGCCTGAGGAACATTAAGTTTCGCTGCTGCATCTTGTTGACTCATTTTTGGCACTTTGATGGGAACTTCTAGGGAACTACGTTTTTCATTTGGAGAAATTAGTCTTTTTCCCGTCATGATTTCAATGTGCACACAGCACTAGCCCATTTGGAAGCGGACGGGTTTCTGTGAGGCAAACTATCATGTGTTTAAAGTAAAAAAGATAACTGTAGTTTTAAAATGTTTTTCCATGTGTTGCCATGTACATAAAGATCCAAAATGAACACTGTAAGTGGATTACTTAATTAATAAAAGCAAAATATTTAAGCAACAAGCATTTAATCACTGTAACCCTGATCACTGTAAGTGGTTTCCACTGTATAATTAAAGGCCATTGCCTTGGTTATAGCACTGTGTCTGGTCAAATGGATTTGTCAAAAAGATCAAGTGTATATTAAAGCTTTTCAGGAAGACACTTGATAGCAAAAAGTTAAAGTAAATGAGTAACGTCACAAAACATCCATGCACGGTAGAAGATATTTCAGGCCAATTCTAAGATTTTTTAAGATTTATCTTAAAAAATCTTGGACAATAAGCACATTTTACTTCACCTTGTTAACTTTGTTCAAACCAATGCCGCCGAGCAGGCAATGTACTTGTGTTATTTTTGTGTGCATGAGTTTAAATGATCATTTAAACCGCACACAAAAGCTTCAAGCTGTAATTCATAACTTTTGTACAACTAACTTTTGTCATATTTATTGATCCTATCACTACATCCATGTAGCAATACATGAGACAGATGATCTGTGAAAAAAATCATGTTCCTCTGCCTCCTCGCAGAGCTTCTAATGGCATTACTGCACATGAATGAAAACAACCCATTAGAGGTGTCTCGAACGCAACCGTCAATCACGGCTCGTGAGCTGCAGTTAAACAGTCAAACCAGGCAGTGCTAATCAAATATGATCAAATTTTTTTTTTTAAACATGTAATTCTCAGGTTAGTTTCTATACAATGAAACAAACCAATAACCTTTATTTACCCATGTATCAAACCTCAAGAGGAATTGAGATACCATGGAGTCCAACTATGGAACATGAACTTTTTAAGGGACTCTGTGTCTTTGTCCCAACACATAAAGAAACTTTAAGGTGATTTAATGACAAAAAGATTTGGTCCAATATAAATTATCACTGAGTTGTGTGGCTGCTGTGTTTCTGCAGAGCACTGATTTACTGATGTTCTGTGTATTTCCCCTCAGTAGTGTTAATTGTGTGGAAGATATGTATCTTTAAAACCTTTCTGCACATGTAAAGTGTTTTTATTTTACTGTCTGTTCTTTTCTATCTAAATGTGCAATACATTTTGTCTCCTCAAATGTTTTCACACACATATTTTAGTGTACTGTTTAGCTGTAAAATGAGAAACTTTGCCCTGGCCCGATGAAGGTGCTTAGTGCATCGCTAAACTATTTCCAACATGGCAGCTAGGTAACAAACTTTCTCATTTAACAGCTAAACAGTACACTAAAATATGCTCTGAAAATATTTGAGGAGAGAAATAGGTGACCGAGTAACAGAATTTTAATTCATATTTGATGGGCGCTGCCTAGTTTGACAGTTTGACCACAATTCATGAGCAGTGACTGACAGCTGTGTTGGAGACTTCTCAGCTCTGGCTGGTTGTTTTTGGTGCACCGTGGTAGATTCTAGCGATGATCATCACAGGCAATGGGAGGATGTGGAGGAACCTGATTTTTTCACAGATTACCTGTCTCGTATAACACTGTGTGGATGAAGTGACAGGTTCAACATAATGACAAAAAGTTATTTTCATAAAAGTTACCAACTGTAGCCTTAATGAGGGCAAATGCCCTAAAGCATTCTAAAAATATATAATATATGAGACTGACTGCTCTCCCTACAGACTCTGCAGCAGCATATGTGGTATAGTTGTGACTCATGCTACATCACAGCCCTTCTGTCCACCTTCTCTCTTCTGCTGCAGTCGAATGGCTCACTCACCTCCACACGCTGAGGATCACACAGATGGACAGGAAGGAAGCAGAAAGAGAGGGAATAAAAAAGGTCAGCTTCAAGAGTCATGGCATGTTGTAGTTCTCTGCAGCTTCTTTTGTATCATACTTTCATAGAGTTTAGCTGAGGCTGTGACTCATATGCTGTGATCACCATCTGAAGTTCAACTTGAGGACAACTGTTATAAATTAGCAATGCAAGCCGCACGAAAGACTCACCACAGTGCTGACTCATCTCTGTGCGAACGTACTCTCTGACCTCAAACTCCTGAAATCAAAATAAAGAGGGGGGACAGAGCAAAAGACACACACTTACAAACACAACCCTAAAATCAACTCTGTGTAAGTGTGTGTGTGTGCTGTTTTGTGTCAGCGTCTTCAGATTGAGCCCCGCGGTAAGGCTCAAGCACTGACCGTCATGCCTGGCTCTCCTCTTTCTCCCTTGGCTCCATCTGGCCCCAACTCTCCCTACAACATGGACAGGTATTAGGACACACACACGACCCACAGAGAGGCTTGCAGCGCAGTACTTTATTAGGCTAAGACCAGGTGCAGCACATATGCAAAGTCAAAGCGAAAGGTTAAATCAGCAGTTGTGACTTACATAGATACAAAAAACAAAAATCAAAATAAAGCTGGGAAAGCTTTAATATTATGTGGTTGTCATTTCACATATGGGTCCCCTTAACTTGGCAAGTAATTTCCCACCAAAGATGGTTGCCAAGAAAACAACCATGAGAAAAGTGTGACACTAACCGGTTCTCCTCGCTCCCCGGGGATTCCTGGGATACCGCGTGGACCCACCATGGCGGGACCTATTGGACCTCTCTCTCCCTGACACACAAGCATAACAACATTAAACATACAACATGTCTGCAGAACACAGATGTTGGATAAAACTCACATTGTAAGTAAAAAAAAAGAAGGTAACGTTTTGTAAAATGCACCACTGCCTCTGTAGACATAATCTCTGGTGGGAATTGCTTGCATAGGTACAGTGAAAACTACAGATCCCAGGAGTGCTCATGAAGAGCAAAAATGTTGTTACCTGAATTTGATTAAATTGTTCCCACGTTTGGGTAAATTTGTGTGCATGAGGTAAGTGTGTATACAGAGAGCCAGCACACCGCCTCACTCCCTGCAGGTAGGAGACCTTAGGCACAGATTTAGGTTGAACACTGGAGGTCGGGACAACCTCTAGCTCACCTGGTAGCTAGATCTTTGCAGTGGCCCAGATTCAATTACGACCTGTCAATCTTCAAAACATTGTAGGTAACGTTTGATGACGTCATGTTGTGAGGAGATTCTGCATGCTCCAACTGACTGAGTTTGGGCTTTTTTTGGTAGTTATCTCTCCAGCCATCTAAAGGCAGGAGGTATCTGTTTCATCTGCAGTCTCTTACTGGAGTGATGTTGTGCACCGTTGAGCCCAAATTATGCAAAGCGGATTCCATGGTTATATTTTGTGCAAGCAGCATCAGACTGGAGTAAAATAATCCAAAAGCCCCACGTGCTTACGTGCACGTCAAATGTGTTGTTTTGATGAATTATTCTCCACAGTTTCTCATTATTTTGCACCAAGCAGCACAGGCAGATTGCAGTCAGGTGCACCCTGCCAAGTGGGTCGGGGTATGCCAAACGCATTTTTGGTAATTTCGTGGCCAGACTCCCCAGACACACTGGTGGCACACTTGGGCACATTATCATCATTAGAGGGTATGACAATCATGGCTGATCACATTCGCTACTTTCATCCAATTTTTTTTACCGAGCTCTTCCCATCGTGACACACTTAAAATTTGGGAATTCTGTAGAGTGTTTTCCTCAGAGGGCACATTTTGTTGTCTGGGACCTGTGACAAAAATTATTTTTTAAATTTAGCTTGGAACCCGAACACTATCTATCACATCACATTGCTCATCACATCCATCCATCCATCCATCCATCCATTTTCATTCACTTAGCAGGCTGGGCAAAGCACCCCAGCAACGCTTTCTAGTTCCTCCTGGGGGACCCCGAGGTGTTCTCAGGCAATGAGATATGTAATCCCTCCAGCATGTTCTGGGTCTGCCCCAGGGCCTCCTACCACTGGGACATGCCCGGAACACCTCTAACAGGAAGCACCCAGGAGGCATTCTGATCAGATGCTCGAACCACCTCAACTGTTTACTTTCGACGCGAAGGAGCAGCAGCTCTACTCTGAGCTCCCTCCCAATGTCTGAGCTCCTTACCCTATCTCTAAGGCTGAGCCCAGCCACCCCACGGAGGAAACTCATTTCGGCCGCTTGTATTTACGATCTCATTCTTTCGGTCACTACCCAGAGCTCATGACCATAGGTGAGGGTTGGGATGTTGATGGACCAGTAAATCGAAAGATTTGCCTCCCAGTTCAGCTCCCTCTTCACCACAATGGTCCAGCGCAGCACCTGCATCACATCTATCTGTATTATATTTTAAAATGAGAAGCTCCAGGTAACATTTTGGCCAGCCCTGTTTAAAAAAAGATGACGCATGCAACCATGACATCTGAACACTGTTACTGTGTGTCCATCCTAAACACCAGGTTAAAGGCTGGCAGGAACAGATGGTCCTGAGGAAGTTATATGCAGAGCTAGAAGTTTTGAGTAATTCACTATTTTTTTGTGGGGCTGTGTGAAACGTTTTCAATACGTTCATCTCCCACATGCCTGTTGATGTGCAGAGGAAGCTGTGTAGAATAATTAATCAAAAGACAAGTTCAATCGTATCTGTGGTTATTTTACAACATTCTAACACTGGTTTCTCAAAGGGGAGTGAGGAGGAGGGACTGTAGAGTGCACTGTGCTGTCTCTCTGTATATACACATGTCTAGTGCGCCCGAAATCAACCAAAAGGTGGCCTTGATTTATTTATTTTCTACTCTCTATGGCCAATGGCTCTGTAGAAAACAAATACAGGTAAGTACTGTATGTACTGAACTTACGCTGCTTCAATCCACACATACAGTATCTGAAAGTGATTTCATGTGATGTAGACATGAAGGCTACAGAGAATACAACATTCATACTGTCATGATGTAGTTCTGGTACATAGAGGCGTTGTACCTACATTAAACCTAAATAAATAAATACATGTAATAACTATTTCAGTTTGTCCTGTAAACATCGTCCTTCGTAAAGTGGGTAGTGGGAATATTTGCATGTACATACAGTCTGCTGTAAATGTTTAATTTCAGACTCTTCCTCCTGTATATTGTGTCATCATAGGTCTACAGTTTTTTGTCTTAGTTTTTACTGTTTTCCATTCTCTTCCATTACATGCTCAGCCTTCCTTTCAGGCTGCACCAAAGCAAAAATATTGTTATATGTCTGGGAAAATAATGCAGCTAGGTTGATTCAAGGGAGTGTTTCAGTTTGGAGAAAAAAAAAAAACTGCGCCCATCAAAGAGACTTGATATGGCCCTGCTCCCCTGTCACCAGCTTTCTTTATTTACTTGATGATGCAGCAGACAAGCCAGTCAAACGCCTGGGCCCATCAAACTGTCAATCATCATGAAGCAATACACAGCAATCAAACAAAACTAGCAGTCAGGTGAAGAAGAAAGAGAACAAACTAAGGAGGAACACAAAAAGACTGTATTCTTTTTATAGCCGTCTTACATCACATTCTTAATGTCACAACTGTCAGAAACAAAAGTTTTATCTTTGTTGCCACTCACACACCTGGCTGGTGTTATTTTGTGCACTCGCGTAGTAGAGCAATCCACACTGTTCTTTATTCTTGTTCCCATAATACATTATTTTTCTTTGCTAGATCATCATCAGATGTGTGCACAGTCAAAACTGATGGTGCATCCATTAGCTGGTCATTATGGCATATCTCATCTCTCTTTAATAGACCTCTGCTTCCATAGATGTAACCAAAGTGAGAGTTAGCTGCCACCATGCCAAAGAAATATTCAATGCTCACCTTCTGTCCCTGGAGCCCCTCTGGGCCTTTAGCACCAGGTGGTCCCAGAGGTCCAGTCAGGCCAGGGGCTCCATCGGTTCCTCTGGGACCAGGAGGACCAGGTACGCCAGGTGGACCCTACATGAAGCACAGACACAGTTGGGGGTTTCAAGATTTCTTGTAGCTGTGAGGATGAGCAATGTTAGTACATGTGTATAATATGGAGATTAGATATAGTATGTATCCACACTCTGTACTGCAGAAGTTAAAGAAACTCACCCTTTCACCTTTCTCTCCCTGAGCTCCTTTGGGTCCTGCAACCCCATCAAAACCACGGTCACCCTACAAAGGAAAGAGGTTACACTTTATAGTTGGACACTTTTATAGTTAGTTAAAGGTACACTATGTTGGATTTTCCTAAAAATGATGTAGATTCATCAGGGCTGGGTATTATTTAAAAAATGATGATACCATTACCCACACCAGCACCCTTAAATTGAAACCAATAGCAACAGAGTGCTTCATATGACACCCTAAATGTAAATGGAGGGTTGTGTAGTATAGCCATACTTTCAAACACACACTGAACTGCCAACTCCGTCAAATACACCTCTCTGAACGTAGCAGCTATTGCTAGAGCGTGAGCTCTGCTCCAAGGACAATGAGTGAGAGTCCACCCGGCTGCACACACAGTGACAGGGCTAAGTCTTAGCATCACATGGCTAACATTACCTGACGGTAATTAATTGGCGGTTCATTTTGTTGAAAACAATTAACGGTTCAGTGTTGGATGTTAGCTGTTGCTACTGTGTTAGCTTGTGCTAACCAGGCAGACATTGACTGACTGTTCACCAGGAGAGGAGCGTCTCTGAAGACAGCAGCAACACAGAGTCTGCTGATCTGGTGGGGAGAGGGGACAGTTCTTGCTCAGGCCCCTGCTGCAAAAAGGACCGACTACAGATATTGTTTAACTGGAGACGTTTCGATATTACTCAGTACTGGGTTATTTCTGTCATACTGAGGTACTGATACTCAGCCCTGAGACTCATATATTAGTTATCTCTCTGTCATCACTTTGCTAGAATCCTGCTAGAAGTTTGTAGCAATGTTTCTATTTGCAGAGACTCTGCCCTTTGCCTGTATTTCCTTCTTATTTTATTGTGTTTGGGATGTTCCTGGGCACAGCCCCACAGGTGAGGATTGCACATTTTAAAAATGTAGCGACTGAGCGATGAAGTGCCAGACTAGCAGCATCCAAGAGGACAGACACCAAGAAAATCATGGACACAACGCTAAAAAAAAAAGTGAAAAAAGTGAGGCGGCACATCAAGTAAACAAAGCTGGGGCTGACCATTTTGGCCATTTTCCAGTGGCCAAGTATTTCTGCACAGTATACCTTTAAAGAAAAGCTTTACAGAACATACCTTAGGACCGACTAGTCCCTCTTTTCCGGGGGTCCCTGGGGCACCAGAGGGTCCAATTTCCCCCTGAAAACAGAGAGTGCACATCTGTAGACACCCAAACTTAAGGTGCACACAGAGGCATATGATACACAACAAAGTGCTTTTTGCTTTTCCATCACAGATATTACTCATACCTGTTCACCTTTTCTTCCTGGTAGGCCTGGTCGTCCATGAATTCCACCATCCCCCTGAGCACAAACACTCAAATTCATTCAGTTTCAAGCACTTACCAGGCAGTTTTGGCTCTTAAATGTCTGACTCATTCGACTTATTTAAGTTTGACATACAATCACAACAGAAGCAGCAGCTATTATTGAAACATTAACAAGCTTCCGTTTCTTTGTTCAGTATTTGGACAGAATAAAAACCCAGAGTCAAAATCACAGTGGATGTGAAATTATCACTTTACAGTTTCTTCATTCATGCTTATTTCTTCTCCTCTTCCTGCTACCAAGTCACATTTTCTCTGTCTGTTTCAATCCCACCTTCTCTCCTTTGGGTCCATCACCTCCACAAGCTCCCTTGGGTCCTCGGTCACCCTGGAAACACATAAGTTCATCATTGACAGAGGCACGTCAAGAGACTTTGTGATTCACAAAGGGTCAAGATGCTCCAAACGCGCCAGACAGGGACGACATCTATACAGAGACAGTCCTTCCACCTGCCACTCAGGCTGAATCATTGTGCACGAGCACTTACACACACACACACACACACACACACACACACACACACAGAGTGAACATGACGCAGTTTGTCCAGCAAGTTCCAAACAGTGACGGATATGGTGCAGAACTGGGAGCTATCATTCTCCTGATAATGGGTGTTGAGACAAGTGGCAATACAGCTTCAGAGGACTCAGAGTGGCTGATGTTGTCTGGTCCAGCCGTGCTAAATCCACAGGCACAGTTGATGGCGTACTTCAAATGCACCCTGTGAACTTGGATGGATGTACAAGAAGTTTTCAACACAGTTTTTCTTCATAGACTTTAAAAAGATGGATAGCAATTCATAAAACTTTGTCCGTAGTAAATGCAATCTGATATTCTACACTAAACTGACTAATTTGAAGAAATAGAGCCTTCTCTTTCTATATGAATTAACAAATGGATACTGTTCATCTGTTCATCACACATTCACTAAGCTTGGCAGTTTGCTGCTCCATTTCCTCAGACAGAGTGGCCTGAGTACGCACTTCCTCTCCATGAGGTGTGGTTCTCTGGTGCTCTGGAGAACCGAATGGTGTATTCCAACAGTGCTTTGAATTTACAAACTATCCTGTTGGTGTGCTCTGGAGCTTGTGTGCGTGTGACTGAGATAGAGAATAGCTCCAAAAATAAAATATCAGTGGGGAGTGTTGATATTGTGGTGAGCTGTCACAAATAAATGAAAGTGGGGGTAATGCAAATTTGGGTACCATGTTTGACAACAAGTTGAGCTTCCAGACAAAACTAGATGCGATTTCATAAAAGGTCCAACAACATCTGTGCTTCTTGAGAAAAATGAACTCTTTTAGTGTTCTATAGATGTTTCACAGAGTCTGCTCTCTCTTTCTGTATTGTGGCATGATTTGGGAACCTGAATCTGACCAATAAGCACAGGCTTGGCTGGCTTGTCAGTGAACAGCAAAAGTTATTGGGGTGAGTCAGCAGCAACTCTCTGACCTCCCGAGGCCCAGGCCATATTGGACTGTCCTGATCACCCCCTGCAGAGGGAGTCTGAGCTCCTGCCTTCAGCGCACAGAGTTGCAGCTTAAAAGGACAAAAGATACAAAATAAATTTCATTTGCAGAGCAATTAGTAGCCTTAATTTGCATGTGATCTCAACACCTAAGCACTTGATGTATTCTGCATTCAGCTGTTGCTTGTACTGTCTCCATTCAAAGTGATCTCTACTGTTCTTTCTCTGTGATTCGCCCAGACTGTTGCATTATGTGATTATGTTTTTATGATGAATGTGTTTGTGTACGTGGCTGCAAATGAAATTCCCCTGGTGGAATAATAAAGTTTTGCTTGACTTCAACGTGACATCCCACTTAGCAAGTTTAAACCTTGTACCTTTTTAGAGATGTCTGTGTTTGCTGCTGACGCTGTTTGACTGGCAACACACTTTTTTATGTGACTTGTCTGCTGTACTCAGGTATCTCTTGCAATAGATATCTTTATCTCACATATATATATGTATAAAACTAGCCAGCCTCCACCCCTCTGAATTGTCCCCCCATCTTAGATTGGTTCAGTTGTTTAAATAGATGAATAAATTGAAATTAATAAATTAAAGTGCAAGAAAATGGGAATTTATTCCATCAGGTTGAGCAAAACACCCATTTCCCTGTGTTAATCATCATAATGTTCGGGTAAAGGCAAATATTCTGTGTGGATATTTTTGACACAATTTGTATTAATCCTCTGCAATCATATCAATTTTATGCTGTTATTGAGTTATGACTGTTATCGCTGACTCCCGAAAGATGCCTCAAGGTTGAAACCACACAGCACATGCACGCAAACACACACACACACACACACACACACACACACACACACAGATGATACCTTGATTCCTCTCAATCCTATGATACCAGACTCCCCTTTGTCCCCCTGGCGTCCTGTCAGCCCGTCTTTCCCTGGTAAACCCTAGAAGAGAAAACAGAAATCCGGTTCTGTTTCTGTCCACCAACAAGAGAAAACCACACACAGAAAACAGATAATCTGTATTTGGAATTAATTAAAATCACGGACCGATTCACCAGGTACTCCAGGTTGACCGGCTTCTCCCTGCAGAGAGACGGCAGAATTACAGTAATTATAGCAGTCAAATTATTATGTGTACTGACTACCGACTGGCTTTGCTATTATATATGACGCTGATTAAATCACTATGATCATCCATGCTCAGCGTTACTTGCCTTCTGTCCACCAGGGCCACGAGCACCTGGGAATCCAGTGGATCCTCTTTCTCCTGGCTCTCCCCTCAGTCCCTGAGGTCAAATACACACAGAGGTATCTGCATATTGTATATTTGTAATATCAATACAACATCTTATTTGGGGTTTTGGTTACTCCAGTATTAGTATATTGTATTTTCGTGTTGCGTTACAGTTAAAGGTACAATGTTATGTATACCACCAGAAGTTAAGTTTAAAACATTAAAAAAACTATAAGTACCGCCTTGTAGCTGTATGCCTCTGTGCACCAGACAAGTTGTAGATACAGTTTACATCCATGTCTGTGAACATATGGATGCTTCACACATATCTTCCCCCCTGACAGCACAGAAGATCTATACAATCAGTTTCAAGGTGGGCACCAAAGATTAATTTCACCGATTCAGTATCTGACCAAATGACTCCACCTCTGTTCCTGAGTTATGACGCTGATTCATGGCAAGTAGTGTTTTTACAGAACAATATGATGTCACAGAGGAGTTGACCTTTTGGATATAAAATGTCATCACTTCATTGTTTCATCCTTTACGACATTTATGTGACAATTTGTCATAATTGCATGTGTATTCTTGAGTTTTGAGTGGTCACAGAAACCTTGACCTTTGACCACCAAATTCTAATTAGTTCATACTTGGGTTCAAGTGGATGTTTGTGCCAAATTTGAGTTAAGTCTCTCAAGGCCTTCTTGAGATATTGTGTTCACAAGATTGAGACGGACTCAAAGTCACAGTGACCTTTCCTTTTGATGACCAAAATCTAACCAGTTCATCAGTGAGTCCAAGTGAACTTTGTGCCAAATTCGAAGGAAAGTCACAAAAATGAGATAGCCGAGGTCACTGTGACCTTGACCTTTGACCACCAAAATCTAATCAGTACATTTTTGAGTCCAACGTGAGTCCAAGTGAACGTTTGTGCCGAATTTATAGTAATTCCCTCAAGGTGTTCTTGAGATATTACGTTCACAAGAATGGGACGGATGGACGAACCACCCCAAAACAAACATTGTGTCAAAAATGTCTATGTATTGTGTTGTAGAAATATTTACTGAAATGAGCGTGCTAACCAGCTAGCCCCTGATCATCCTGTCTTGTAACACCACTTGTACCTGTAGTGGCAATAGTGAGTCAGTGTAGTGTACAGTCTGCCCTCAGTCCAACATGAGAGGACAAAGAAGTATAGAGCTACAGCTAACCCTTGCTCCTGATGCAAACAGGCATTTAATGGGCTGATAACAGCAGTGTCAACCTACTTGATGTTGTAGCAGAACACTGCTAACCCATATCTATGAGACTGACAACCATTAATAACTCCCATTTAATTGAGAAATTTGAAATAGGTGCCAACTATGACATATATCCCGGTAAGAGTACACAGCAGTACCTGCTCCCCTGGAGGGCCCTCTTGACCCTTTGTCCCTTTTTCTCCCTGAACACCTTTGGGTCCCCTGTCACCCTAAAATGAAAAAGTAGTGACATCCACAACAAGCAAAACCAAACACACACTGTAGAAACAAAAGTGAATATTTGAATATATTCAACATTTGGACCCTTCCAGATGTTCACTGACTGTTTCTCCTTTGTTGCCCTTTTCTCCAGCAGGTCCTCCCACCAGCACCGTGTCCCCCTGTGAGTGATAGTACAGCTGTAAACATCTGGCTTCACCCCAAAGCCAAGACATCAACACACAATCCTGTTACCTTTTCTGAAGCCGTGTCACATATAGTATCTCAGCTCATTAACATTGTGTGTATTCATGTATTCCTCCTGCTCTTTCAAAAAGAAACAGCCACTGCTGACACAATGTGTCGCATTTTCCTCCTCCTCCTCCATTTCTGTAGCAATGTTGTCTTTACAAATATAAACAAGTACATGAGAGAGAGAGAGAGAGAGAGAGAGAGAGAGAGAGAGGGAGCAGTGGCAGAGCTTATTAGATATTAAAATGCACACACCTTCTCTCCTTTGTCACCTTGCAGCCCGATGTCTCCCTGGAAAAAAAGAAGATTGAGAGCAAAACATGTCATTCAGGCGTGTTGATTTAATTCACTACTTTACATGAGCTGAACGCTTGCAGGATGCAGCTAATATGATGACACATAAAATTAGAAAAAAAGTACTGGTAGTATTCACCTTCTCTCCTCGAATACCTCGGATCCCTGGTGGACCCTGATGAATACACAAACACACATACACACATTACATACGGCTCCACAGTGCATGTTTCTAACTCTAGGCGATGTTTACTTTGGTCCAACATCAAAACTGAAATCAAAATGATGTCACGACTCCTCAAGGTGTAGGTGAGGGTGAGGGAGGACAAGGCCTTTGAAATCATTAGTTTACGATGAAAAACACGGTGTCCTTTCATAACAGTAAAGATTTATGCATGTGTTTTTCTCTTTATGGCTGCATACAGACTACCTCCTGGCAGGGATGCTGAAAGCTGAAGTGGAGAGGCTTTGTTAGTGTACGTCGTGTGTGATAGATAAAAAAAGAAATGTTTATATTTACCGTTATCCCCCTCTCTCCATCCAAGCCAGCACGACCCTCCTCTCCCTAAGACATGAAAGACAGAAAAAGGCACATGAATACACCGGTGTAATTTTCAGTCACTCAGAGGCAGTTTCATATTAGATCTTCAGTGATACACTGATTTAACGGATGTCTTACCCTCGGCCCTGGTTCTCCTCTTTCTCCTCTGGGACCAGTGAGTCCAACGCCAACTTCCCCCTGGCAACAGAAATAATATACACCCTTCAAGAAATCCATTAACATTTAAACATGCAGGCAGAAATATGTGTCGGCGTGCATAGTCACCTTGTCTCCTTTGACCCCGTTGGTACCAGGAGAGCCCTAGAAAACAAAGAATTGATCGTATAACTCGATGACCACACATCTGTTTTTGTACATCTTCCTTGCTCTTCCTTCCTTCCTTTCTTTCTTTCTTTCTTTCTTTCTTTCTTTTTCTTTCTTTCTTAGACTTTTACTTTTAAAAACTTGTTTTTTACATTTAACAACCTAGTAGACAACCTATAAGCAGTCATCAAACAACAATCCAAAGCAGTAGGATCAAAATTAAGCCTAAATATGGATACTTTCACAGCTGAAGATAACTACTAATCACAGTGTAATAAAAACAGGATCTAAACTCACTGCCTGTCCAGGAGGTCCAGCAGGACCAGGGGGCCCGGCATTTCCTGCGCGGCCTGCAAAGCCTTGGAGACCCTGAAAATGAGAACTCAATACTTTAAAATCAACCACAGATATGAAGACAGAAAACATCCAGTGTTGTGTAATCAGTGGCTCCACCAACCCTCTCCCCAGGTGGTCCAGGAGGTCCTGGTTGTCCAATTTCTCCTCTCAGGCCAGGCAGCCCACTGTTACCTGGCTTCCCCTGTAGCCCCGGAGGACCAGCTGGACCAGGAAGGCCTGGATCTCCCTGGAATCAAGTCAGAGTTACATTTTGACTGTAGATCATCCTAAGCTGCACCACATGCCGTTACTCACCTTTAAACCTAGAGGCCCATCCCGGCCAGGAGGACCCTCCTGCCCTATGCCCTTCTCTCCCTGTAGCAAACACAATGTCAGAACTGTCACATGGATTGGGTTTGATTTCAGGCAAAAAAAACAAAAAAAAAAACACGACAGAAAGTTACCTTATCTCCTTTTGGCCCTGAAGATCCTTTTGCCCCCTGCATGAAAAACAAATATGATGGTGCGAAAATAAGACCAACTGATGGCTCATACCAATAACACAAGATTGGACAACAAACAGAAACATATATACTATTTTTTTTAACAATCAATATCAATGATACAAAGTGACCTCTCACCAAAAGGTATATGAATAAGACTGCGTTCTGTGGGTACCCATGAATATGCCAACTTTATGCTGATGAAAAATTTATTTTCACCAATTCTGAAAAAATGATGCATTTGAATATTTCTGCATGCTAGGGTACATAAACAGTCCTGGAACTGCATAAATTGAGTTTAACTGAAAAGCTGAGACTCTTGTTGATTCAAAGAGCCCAACTGTATTCATGTGTGATGACGTAAGTTCCCATTTTTTGAAACTTGACTACACTGTATAAAATGACCTATTTTAACCTCTGGGATAATCACAGCCTCATGAAACTTAACAATCACAAACCAGAGCCCTCGGATGCATGGTTTTTATAGGTGTATATTAACAATAAGGGGGTTTCTCAGCCGCGAAATGCAATTGTTATAGAAACCTCAAAATGTCAAAGGTTTTTGGTGCCAAATCACAGCATGGATTTTTCTGTGGTGTTCCTCTTGGTCTTGATTAATAATTAGAATTATTTAATTAATTCTTGAGTGGTCAAAATGATTAAATCTAGCACCAGATCTCTGTAACAAATCTTATCATCCAAAAAATATCTAACTTACAAGACATAATTGGGCATAGGAATGCCCTTATACACTCTAAACTTTTAAAGTAACAAAAAAAACCTAAACAAAATACATTCATTGTAGATTTATGACAAAAACAAATGGAATTAGCTGAATCTCAAATTAATCTTAAGGCTTCCAGCTTTTAGATTATGTATACCACTTATATGTGGCATATACAGTTGACCTGCTATCACTCAACAGATACCCTGTCCCGCTTTCAAAAAGACAAACATGGGTCTATGGTGAGTCTCTAAGGGTTAAATAATGATACAAATTTCAGCATGCTCCCCAAATATCCGTCTGGCATTCATTATCATGCTGGTGAAGACACGTTCCATCAGTATGGGAGTGTACTGTCAGCGGCTTGGTTGTCATTACACTTAACATGCCTCGTTAACCTCAAGGACGACAAATAATGAAAACCTGGACTATCAGAGGAGATTGGTCTCAGTTACAACTTACACCTTTAGATAGGATGTCTGGAGAATTTAATATCACTGCTGTATGAAAATGGTTGATTATGGTAAGATTAAATAATTAGACTGAAGAGAAAGAGAGAGAGACAATGTTTGATATAAAGAATCCTAGTTTTAAGTGCATGGTAGAAAAATGCATACATTTACCTGTATCATTACACCTTTACTGCACTTTGTGTGATTTCTGGATAACAGAAATGCCATGCCACTAAAACACAGGTTTAAGTAGGATGTGGTTACATAACAAGGATGAGTAAAACTTTAAATTTAGAGCTGATTTGTACTCAGGTCCTTCAAGCAGAAACATGCTAAACATCAGTGTGAGGCACTTGGTGATTTCAAGCTGGCTGTTGAATTTCACATCATTACAGTGAAAACCAGAAACATATTTTTAGCATATTGAGCTCACAAAACAACTCTCATTGAGGATATTAAAAGGAGCAAGAGTGCTGTATTTTTGTTAGTTTTAAGTTCAAAAATTAAATGAACATAGGTACTAAAAACACATTGGCTCAATAACTGATTAATAATAGTTTGCATGAATAGTTCTTCAACAAAGACTAAATTCAAAATAGACTTAAGCAATGGGGCTGTAACTAATGATTATATTAATTTTCAGTTAATCAATATGTTTTTTTGTCTATAAAATGTCAGAAAATGGTGAGAAACAAGATGACATCTTGAAATGTCTTGTTTTGTCCACAACCCAAAGATAATGAGTTCACTGTCATACAGGAGTAGAGAAACCAGAAAGTATTCAGATTTAAAAAGCTGGAATCAGAGAAATTTTATTAAAAAACAAAAACTAAAACCATTTAATCAGTTGTGAAATGAATTGGCCATTAATTTAATTGCTGACAACTATCAATTAATTGATGCAGCTATTATAATTGACAAGCTAACTCTTTATACTCAGTTAAACTGACAGTACATATTACATTTCTGGGAGTGATACTGGATCACAAAATCAGCTGGAAACCTCAAATAAGTCACATTCAGCCGTGGCTGGCAAATGGTAAATGGACCTGCATTTCTATAATGCCTTTCTAGTCATCCAACCACTCAAAGCGCTTTTTACACTATGAGTCACATTCACACATTCGCACACACCTTTATACACTGGTGGCTGAGGCTACCATACAAGGTTCCACCTGCTAATCAGTTTTTAACACTCACTCACTGATGGAAGCATCATTGGGAGCAATTTGGGGCTCAGTATCTTGCCCAAGGATACTTTGACATGCAGACAGGAGGAGCCAGGGATCAAACCCCCGATCTTTCCAATTGTTGGATGACCCTCTCTACCTCTGAGCCACAGCCCCCAAGAGCATTGCAGTTATGGTAAAATCAAGACACAAACTGGACCATAAATCTGTACATATCATCTACTTCTAACTCATTTTACCACATCTTAATTATTGTGTGTCTGGGTAACACCTATAAAAGCAATTTATAAACATAACACATATTACCAAAAGAAGCCATTAGGATTGTACACAATAGTGGATATAGGGAGCACACGGACACGCTGTTTTTTAAGGCACTTGTATTAAAATTTAGGACTTTAAAACAGTACAAATCATGTACAAAGTAAGAAATTACCTACTTCCAGGCAAAGAATGTATATTGGCAGGGAGGAGGGGGGGATACGATTTAAGACGAAAATTAAATCTAAAAAAACCCACTGTGTTCGTACAACCTTGAAAAGTATGTGTGTTTCAGTGTGTGGGGAGGATTTATGGAATGGGTTAGATGAGGAGGTAAAGGGAAGCACATCTACCACTTTAAAAAGATGTACAGATGCAATATTTTTTAGAGGTATGCAGATGACGAGGGGGGATGCTGATGGGTTGGTTCATTTATTTATCTGGGATTGGTTGAGATGGGATTGGTATGTTTAACATCTTATACTGTTGTTTATTTATCTATATTAATGGTTGTAAATCAGTTTGAAATAGTTGTTGACAGTTTCCTTTTTAAATGAGACATGAATACTGAGAAGGGGGTAGGTTTATGTAAGTGTACACTTCTTACCTTTTTTTGAGCATGTCTGTTGATGTTTTGTTTGTTTTATTTGTTTGTTTTTGCTCAAAATAGTCATTCATTCATTCATTCATAAGCATCTGTGTGTTAGCAAACATCTTTGTTCCTATCCTGATAAGATTTTACCTTAACTTACACAATGCTAATAGTATGATAATGGTGGTATTAAACCTTCATTGACAGATGATAGCATTTAGACTTTTGAGAACAATGGCCCAAGGAACGTGACAAAGGGCTCAAGGCGTCGACCTGGCCTCCAAATGTCACTGACCCCAATCCGATTGAGAATCAGTGGGACATGCTGGTACCGCACTTCATAACCCACAAGACTCAAAGGATCCGCTGCCAGTGCCCCAATGCAGAGACCGCAGGACACCCACAAAGGTCCTGTGTCAATGCCTTAACCGGTTAGAGCAAAGTCCGATCCAAAGATGCCACCTGTTGAGACATGGACTCAGAACCTCTGAGGGTCACTGGCTTGTCCCACAGATACTCAGTCAGATTGGGATCTGGGGAATCTGAGGCCAGGTTGATGCCTTGAGCTCTTCGTCACGTTCCGCAGGCCATTCCTGAGCAGTTTTTGCATCATGGGCCATGAGGGGGAGTATGTAGTCTGTAACAGTGTTTGGGTGAGTGGTGTGTGTCATCTGGTATTCACATGAATGCCAGGACCCAAGGTTTCCCAGCAGAACATTTCATTATAACAATGTTATTCACTTCACCTGGCAGTGGTTTTCATGTTATGGCTCATCAGTGTATAAACACAACAAAAACCACATTCAGTAACACAACACGTCAGAGTCTGTTTAAAAACTAACATCACAGCCGAAATCCAGAAAACAAACAGTGACAGTGGAAGCTGATTACTCACATCTTCTCCGGGCTCTCCTGGCTCACCATCCACTCCCTGGTATGACGACAGATAACACGATGTGAGCACGCTGTTGTGTTAACTTTAAGATTATGTGTTGCTCTGCGGTATGCTGCTACTCACTCTCTCTCCTTTGTTGCCAGGAACACCTTTGTCTCCCCTGTTACCCTGAAAGGCAGCAGTTATCAAACAGTGTTAATGAAAAAGCACTTGGCATTTTCACACTGTATCTTGGCACTAACTGAGAGCGGGTCGTCAGCGCTAATGCTTCAGTCAGACTCACCTTTTCTCCAGGTAGACCTCTCTCCCCAGCTGTGCCTGGCAGCGTTACACCATTTGGACCCTGTGATCAATCACAACCAGGAGAGTGACATCAGCTACATTAAGCTACTCTGCTTCCTCGCATATTATTATTCAGTTTCCGGTGTTAAGCAACTTAATTGAGTATGCCATGCATTCATATTCACTTTTTATTCAACAGCAGTCAATACTACAGCTGAAATGGAAAAAAAACAAGGATCATGTAGCTACTCTGACGTTAATGCCATTAACAGTGACTCACCCTCTCCCCTTTGGGTCCAGGGGGTCCAGCCACAGCCTGTAAGAGTGCAGAAAAATGGAGAAAATAATAGTAATTACCTGTGCTGTTCATGAAAAGACGGAAATGTGTACTTAAAAGCCTTGGTATACAAGCAGCACATTAGCCATTAGCTTTTCCAGCTCTTAAAGATTAAGAGCCTTAATGTCTTCTTTGGCAAGGGCAGCCAACAAGTGCACAGCTCCTGCTGCCTAACCATTACACTGCACCACAGCGGAAGTGTTTGACCATCCATACTTTTCTGCTCTGTAGGAGGCAAAGGTCTCACAACTTACTTAAGAGATGAAGTCTTGTGCTAATAATATGTCTATTTTAATTAAACTTGACTATTCAAGGGACAACCCGCTGATATTGTCGCTCAGGAGATACTCTGTCCCCGCAGTTTTCAGCACTGTCTTGACAAAATGACAACCTCAAGAAATGTTGCCTCAGTCAGAAATATTAAATGAAGCAAAGTGGAAACTCTTGTTGCACTCAGAAGGACTGAACCCTAAAAAAAATACATGCAGCTGTATTTTAGAAAGCGATACGTCTGTTATCAAAGTCAATTGCAGCTGTGGAGGTGGAAAATGCTCTGTCACTTCATCTTTGTGTGTGTGTGTGTGTGTGCGTGAACAAATGGTGGAGCTGCTGAGCAGATGGGCAAGTGTTGCCTGGGTTATTCATCAAACTGGTGAACTCACTGACAGTGTCACTGTGGCTCTGTCCAAGGTGCTGAACCTGAGGCAGTCAGCAGTGAGAGGGAGCTGCTCGAGACACTCGTCACGATTCATGTCAACATTACAAACAGCAGGAGTGGCAGCGAATACCGACTACCTGCAAGCAAGCTTCAATGTTTGGGTCTTTTTCTCCTTACATACCGGTGCCCAAAAGCTCCTGGCAGTGAGGTGTTACAATTGTTGTCTGATGGTGTAGTGGTTAAGACACATACCATATGCCGTGATTGCAACATCCCTGGTTCATAGCTGGGAACCTTTGTTACATGTTGTATCCCTCCCTCTGATAAAAGTTACTATATATGAGCTTAGGACAAATGTTCTCTTCAACATATTAAATGTTTTTAATGCCACAAAAAGGTACTCTAGTGTAGCATGTGATCTTGCAAACAGCTACCTGCTCTACCCAGTTTAACAAGCAACACTGGTCAGGAAGAAAAGAGGTTTGAGCAACAAGCACTACTGGAGTGTGACAATATCTTTTTGGACAACAACAAAATAACACTGATAACATAAAAACAGGGGAAGTTTTTTGTTGTTATTGAGGGTAATCAACCCCTTTCCTGTGGTGGAATAAACATGCACTTTGGATGCTTAACGGAACAGCTCAAGCCTCTCTACACACTGCCAAACTGACATTTCATCTGTGAAACAGCTGCTCCACATCTGTACAAGTGAGTCACTGAATTCCTACCAAAATGCTTGGAAAACACTGCAGTTTTGAGTCAACGGCTCGTAAACGTGTGTGCTACTCCATGTCATTATGAAATCTGGCAGCAAACCTGTTCGATTTGAGTTGTGAATTACAAAAATCTGCGCTTCAGGCGAAAAAGTTTGAATGCTCCTGGCTCAGACGAGGGGGAGTCTGCACCACAGCAGCAGCAAATTAGAGTACAGTGCATGTTTTATAAGCTAAGCTCAGGTGCACCCATAGGTTACTAATAGTCTGGTAGCAGTTCAGCAAAGGTTCATATGATAATTCTTATCCTATTGGTGTTGGTATCTGCAGTGTAACTATACTGATATTGTAAATGACAGAGCTGTCTTGAGCTGCAGGTCTAGCAAAGCATGAAAAACAGATGATTTTGGCTCTTCGTGATGTGATAAGCTCTGCACAGAGAAAGTTATGAATGCATGTGACCTTCTCTGTCATTTTCTGTCACACTGAGCTGAAATCTGGCTTAATTGAGATCCTCATCAGTAGAATTGGCAGAGGCTTCCTCTCATCGAGCCAATCTCTATTAACAGATGTCTGCGGTCATTGAAATACAGACTAACTGGCAGGTAATAATATTTCAGTGTCAGTGGTAAGGTAGCTTTCATTTGAAGGCCAGGAGCCAAGTGCTTGAGTTGTACAGTGTTATGAGAAATATTAAATTCAAGCAATAAAGGGAACAGCTACACTGGAACATAAATATATATTCCTACCAGAGGTTTATTGTGTGTGATCATGCATGGTAAGATGAGGAGCTCTTAGGATGGTTCGACCATAAAACACAGGAGCATTCCTCTATGTTGATTGTGAGATTACACCAAAGAACATCTTGAACCAGCACTTAACAATATATCTGTCAAGACTGTTCTCCAACCTCTCTCTTTTTATATCTAGAGATATATTCTGACCAGTCAGGGATGTTGTTCCATCTCACCTACTACAAGATATACACTCAACAGCCACTTTATTAGGTACACCTTGCTAGTGCCGGATTTGACCCCCTTTGCCGTCAGAATGACTTGCAGCATAGATTCAACAAGGTGCTGGGAACAGAGATTTTGGTCCATATTGACATGACAGCATCACACTATACTTACTTATACTTAGTTACTTCGGATTTGTCGGCTTCACACCCATGATGTGAACCTCTTGTTCCACCTCATCCCAAAAGTGCTCTGTTGGATTGAAATCTAGTGGCTGTGGAGGCCATTTAGGTAAGGTGAACACTTTTGGTAAAAACCTAGGAGTCACTTTTGACTACTTGCTGAAATTTGATATACATGTCAAGACTAGTCCTGCTACTTTCACCTGAGGAATATTGCAAAAATACACCCACTGTTGCTTTTATGGCCTCCCGCTTGGCCTTGCATAATGCTTTTTATTCATACCTAAGCCAAAATGCTGTTACAGTTAGTCCAAAACTCTGCAGCGAGACCACTCACTAAGACCTCATGTCACTCTCACATCACCCTGGCACTGATGTCACTTCATTAACTTCATTAACAATCGATGGTCCTCCTCCTCATCTATACGACTTTGAACAATCTTGCTCCAGAGAGATAAGTGAACTACTAATGCTGTATACCCCTGCTAGGCCCATCAGGTCCTCTGAACAGGGCCTTGTTGTGCCTTGCTCAGGACTGAAAACACGAGGGGACTGTGTGTTTGCTATTCTGGGTCCCAGGGAACGTCTCCCCAGGGAGTCAGGTCAGTAAACTCTCAAGGGCTTTGAGTCACAGCTGAAAACCTATTTTTTCAGTGTTTTTATGCTTGAATTGTGAACTCTATTTTAAGCTGTGATGCTGCTAATTGTTTTTTTATGTGCTGTTTTCTCTGATTGTAATGTTTGTGTTGTACTCATTGTTCTTTTAACGTCTTTGCTTTTGTAAAGCACTTTGCAACCTAGGTTTTGAAAGGGGCTTTATAAATATTTTCTTCTTACTTTCATACTTACTTACTCATTGTCATGTTCAAGAAACCAGTTTGTGATGATTTTTGACTTGGCATGTTATCCTGCTGGATGAAGCCATTAGAGGATGGGCACACTATGGTGTTAAAGGGATGGACATAGTCACCAACAGTACTCAGGTAGACTGTGGTGTTTAAACAATGCTCAAATGGTGCTAAAAGTGTGCAGAGAAGATAGGCTCCACACCATTACATCACCACCACCAGCAGCCTGAATCATTGATACAAGGCAAGATTGATCCGTACTTTTATGCTTACGCCAAATTCTGATCCTGATGAAATCGAGACTCATTACATGAGGCAATGTTTTTCCAGTCCTCTGTTGTCTAATTTTGGTGACCCTGTGTGAATTGCAGCCTCAGTTTCCTGTTGTTAGCTGACAGGAGTGGCACCTGGTGTGGTCTTCTGCTGTTGTAGCCCACCTGCCTCAAGGCTCAACGTGTCGTGCATTCAAAGATGCTCTACTGCATTCATTGGTTGTAACGAGTGGTTATTGGAGTTACTGCTGTCCTTCTATCAGCTCAGAGTCTGGCCATTCTCCTCTGACCTCTGGCATCAACAAGGCATTTTCACCCAGAGAACTGCTGCTCACTAGATATTTTCTTTTTTTTGGGCCATCCACTGTAAACCCTAGAGATGGTTGTGTGTAAAAATCCCAGTAGATCAGCAGTTTCTGAAATATTCAGACCAGGATGTCCGACACCAACAACCATGCCATGTCAAAAATCACTTAAATCACCTTTCTTCCCCATTGTGATGCTCAGTTTGAACTTCAACAGAGCGGCTTGACCATGTCTAGATGCCGCCACGTGATTGGCTAATTAGATGCTTGCATTAGTGAACTACATGAACACAGTTATCAGGTGTATCTAATGAAGTGGCCGGTGAGTATGTGCAAATTGATACAAGACCATCTAGACCTCCAGCATGTACAGTAGTGGAGCGGGTTGCAATTGAGTGTGAATCGGTCGGGACGAGAATCAGTACCTCCAAGTCTGAGGCCATGGTCCTGGAAAACGGTGGACTGCCCCCTCTGGGCTGGGAATGAGTTGCTGCCCCAACTGAATAAGTTCAAGTACCTTGGGGTCTTGTACACCAGTGAGGGTAAAATGGAGCATGAGAAAAATATGTGGTTTGGCATGGCGTCAGCAAGGATGCAGACTGTCATGGTGAAGAGGGAGCTGAGCCAGAAGACAAAGTTCTCAATACATCGGTCCATCTACGTCCCTAGGCTCACCTATGGTCATGGGCTTTGCGTAATGACCGGAAGAATGAGGCTGTGGATACAAGTGACCAAAACAAGCTTTAGAGGTAGGATACAGAGCTCAGACATCTGGAGAGGGCTCAGAGAAGAGCTGCTATTCCATCGCATTGAAAGGGGCCAGGTTCGGGCATCTCATCAGGATGCCTGAACCTGCTGGATGGATTATATATCTCATCTGGCCTGGGAAAGCCTCGGGATCCCCCAGGAGGTGTTGGAAATTGTTATTGATGAGAGGGACGCTTGGAATACGTTGTTTAACCTTCTTCCCCTGCATCCCAGCCTCATATACGTGGATTAAAATGAATGGATGGATGGATGGTATCTAGACCAGCTTGTGCCACTTGCAGACTGACAGGCTGGTGCAGGCTTTAATAGAACACTCAAACCAATTATCCATAAATTTATGCAAGGATTTAGCTGAAATTCAGAGTCATGGTTGGCTCCTCTGTTATTTTTAGAGTGGAAGGCATTACAGGCCTCCACAGAGTTTTCCCCCATTTAGCTACAATTCTGTAAAAAACTCCAGGGCTGTACTGTGCCAGATAATACAGACCTGTGAGAGTGGAGTGCACACAAGAAAGACTAAATATGTTCAAGACATGTGAACACTCATTTTACTGGGTGAGCAAGTGCCACAAAATTTGCACATTGAATGTCAGTCAATAACAGTTTGTTTTTGATCCATTCCTAATCCCAGCTCAAAACCCACCAAATGGTAAGGAATGTTTTTGCTGGATATTTAACACTGCAGTAGGGAACTCACTGACAGACATGAGGTCATCTAATTTAACACTAGACTTTTGTAAAACTTGTGTGTGTCTCCTGATACTGGCTCAGGTGAAAAATATTTAAATATGTTTCCATACAGAACTCACTTTCAACAGAGGTAGCTTTTGGGCACGTTTTCACCAAGACACACAAAATTCATAAACCACACCTAAATGGTTAGAGGTATGTAGCGAACCCCAAAGAGGTAAAATGAGACACAGAAATGAGAGCAGGTCCACAATTATCTGGTGTAACTCCATCACAGCTTGATGTTATTGTGCTTGACGTTGCTGTGTAGAACACAATTTATAGATTCAATTTCCCTTAAAAACCCCAAATGTCTGCCTTGCCCATTGTATTGACTTTACGTGATTAAATTACAGACTACTGACAGAGAATGTCTATATTCTGATGTTTTCTGTTTGTGAGCTGTTGGAAGTACTCGTCATGTTCCTTTCCCGCCAGGATCATGGCTCACAGTGCTGCAGCCCACTCAGAAATATCAGTTATCAATTAACAGAGATGGCTGGCAGCAGCATATAACCAGCTACCAGTGGAACTCCTAGACAACATTAAAGGCATACTTCACCCCCAAATGACCATTTCTATGTCAATTACCCCCTGCCACTTTTTCTTTTTTTTTGTGTGTGCCTCTAGCGAACAAAGAATCCAGAGAATATTCTTGATAAATTAAAGTCATATGGGTCTGTGTTTAACAGCAAAACTATATTAAAACATCCTTTCACAAACTCTCACACAACTCATGCAACATAATCCAAGTCTCATTTATCCAGTCGTATGCTCAGTACTTTTCCAAACAGACAGCTCTTTCTAACAGGGAGCTGAACTACAAGTGCAAAATGCTCTCTTTAAACTTTATCGACAAAAACAGTCATTTTACCTTGCTGAACACGGGAGCTGCTGGTCGACCCCAGCTTTGAACGGTAGTTTGTGTTATTGTGTAAATTTAGTGTTTTAAAGTGTTCGTACAGATTCACCAAAATCACACAATAACATAAAAAAACTAACTGACTGAGGCAGTGGTAAACCAGCAGCTCCCGGGATCAGCTAGGTAAAATTACCACTTTTGTCAGTCGAGTCTGGCCTTGAAGAGAGCATAGATAATTTTCACTTACAGTTCAGATCCCCATTGGAATGAGCTGTCTGTTTGGGAAGTACTGAGCATACAACTGGATAATGGAAACTTGGATTATACTACATGAGTTGTGCAGCAAGAGTTTGGACATGGATGTTTTGATATAGTTTTGCTGTTGTTGTTAAAAGTATCCTAAGTAGGACTGTCAGATGCTGTTTCTAAACATGCTCGCCACTGAGAGTAAAAGGAAAAGTCAACCCCAGATTCACTCTTGTTTGGCGTTTCACCTTGCTATATTTGTGATTTTTTTCCGCTGCTGTTACTCTTGGATGCGTACAACTTATGGTCTGCCACCTGGTTACTACCTTTTTATAAAGCCATTAACATCCCATTAACTATAATTACTGCCCCATGATTGTATGCCTCCGTGCACCAGTCAAGTTTATCTTAGAATTTGCATGTCTGTGAAAACATGGATGCTTCACACATATTTTTCCCTGGCAGCACAGAAGATCTGTACAATCTGTTTCAAGGTGGGTACCCGAGATTAGTGTCACCAATTAAGTATCTAAATATTTCCCCTTCTGCTCCTGAAATATGGCACTGAATAATGGCCTGTATTATGCAGCACACCATGATGTCACGGTAAAGTTGACATTTGACCTTTTGGATATAAAATGTCATCTCTTTATCATCTTATTCTAGTAGACATTTGTGTGAAGTTTTGTCATAATTAGCATATGACTTCTTGAGTTAAGGCCGAAACATATTTTGTGAGGTCACACAGTTAATTTTTCAGTCCAAGTGGATGTCTGTGCCAAATTTGAAGAAATTCCCTCAGGCTGTTCTTAAGATATTGCGTTCTCAAGAATGAGATGGATGGGAGGTCACAGCGACCTTAACCTTTGACCCTTGACCAACAACATCTATTCAGTTCATCCTTGAGTCAAAGTGTTTGTGCCAAATTTAAAGAAATTCCCTTCAGGTGCTCTTGAGTCATTGCATTCACAAGAATGAGACAGATAGGGTCACAGTGACCTTGACCTTCGACCTATGACCACCAAAACCTAATCACTTCATTGTTGGGTCTAAGTGGACATTTGTGCCAAATTTGAAGAAATTTCCTTGATACAGGCAGAGGGCAGAGTCTCAAAAAAAAAAAAAAATAAATAAATAAATAAAATCACTGCCACACCCATAAATGATGATTGACAAGAATTACCTCTGTATGTATCTATACATTGTTTTTTAGGAAGATTCGGCATGGTACGTATTTAAACGCAGAGTTTTATTCATGAATTTAATCTAACACAGGGAGTAATAAAAATACAAACGGTCAGTTGGGGATGAAGTGTTCCTTTAAAAAGTGTACATATTGCAGGGGAATATCTCTGGAGCATTACTTAGGTTATTACATGCAGCCCTAGCCCCAGGTGGACAAACAACAGCAGCCTGACCACAGGCCCTCAGGGAAGACTCAGAATAGGCATCAGATGAAAACTTTCGCAGTAGGAAGCTAATAATAGCACTACAGAAATGTTTTTTATCACTTCAGGCAGCAAATCATTCTGTAGCTGGGATCACATCCAATAAAAGCAACCACAAAACCAATTTCATTGACTGTCCTCGTAGCCAGAGGCTGCTCGGTAGATACAGCGTGTTCTCACCTTTCCTGGAGGACCGCTGTCTCCCTGCTCCCCCTTTAAGCCGTTCTGGCCTGGAGGTCCAGAAATGCCCTGAGGAACAAATTACACAATGATGACACCGAGGGGGACCTGATAAAAATGTCACAGTGCTCACTACATACACAGTCGACTACATGAACACAAACTCCAGCACACAGACAGACAGACAGACACACATACACACCTGCTTTCCTGGTAACCCAGGTATCCCATCTTTGCCCGGCACCCCATCTCTTCCAGGGACTCCTGGTTTACCTGCTTCACCCTGAGGAGCAGCACATACTTCAGTATTTGTAATATCTGTGCAATCTGAAGCATGTGCAGTCACGTTCACATTTAAGTGCTCTACAAAGGTTGCAAATCATCTAAAAAGAATCTATGCAGCTGTCCAATTCACCTTGAGCACCACAGTTAATCAGTTAATATGGATCAGTTATGGGGTCTTAAACTAAAAGTTTACAACACAAATGAAACAAAGAAAGTGGTTAGAGTTTGTCACACAGTGAACAGGATATGCTGAGGGGACAGCTTGTTTATCAGCTGAAGGTACAACAAATCACATGTTCTCTAACCTGCTTTTTCAAATCATGAACACAAAATGCGGCTGAAGCCTCCATTTGTCAACGAAAGCTTGGCACACATGTTCTGGCATTTTTATTTAATGACCTGCCCATTTTCAGCTGTAATCGAAATGCCTCAGGCAAAGAACATTTCCTCAATTTTACACTTCCTCACTGTGCTCCACAGCGCTGCAAACAGTGGCAGCCAGATCAGGATCGCATACTCACCACCTGCCCTGGTAGTCCTGAAGGTCCCTGTGGACCCTGCAGCGAGAAATAAATGCAGTGGTGAGAAGGAGCGCAATATGATACACAGCATGAGGTTTTTGATGAATTTCATGAGGAAACATGAAAGCAGCGTCTCCCTGTGGGGACACTTACTACTGCTCCGGGGGGGCCTGGTGGTCCTGGCAGACCTGTGCTCCCTTGGGCTCCAGGAGGACCCTGCAGACAGAGGAAATTAAGTCACACATTGTTGATGTGTTGTAGAACTTCACTGTCCAGATTATAATGTGATTAGGACAACTGAACTTTTTGTCTAAAAGAACTTTAGCACATCCTGCACAAAAATGTGCAGTGTCCTAATTGTACACACCGTAAAGTTAAAACCTGCTTGGTAAATTTTTTTTTTCTAATTCTGAAAAGATGTAGAGTTGTCTTACCTGGACACCAACACCTGGCTCTCCTTGATTACCCTGTCACAGACACAAAAGATTTATGTCTTTCGTCAGCAAGCAACAAACAAAAGAATCTCAGTATACATGCTGTAACAGGCAGCACGTCGAGATGTAAACTCACCTTCACACCTGCAGGACCTGGAGACCCGTTGGGACCCATGGGGCCCTAATTGAAACACATACCACCAACATATTATGTGCTGCTGTCGATACAAGTCGGTGAATGTGTATGCGTGCTTCGCTGTGTGTGTGTGATACTCACAGTTGGCCCCCTTATGCCAGGCTCTCCTGGGTTTCCCTAAAAGCAAAATACAAGTCATACACAGAATATTCACATCATAAATTATTCCCTAACACTGCACACTGCACACACGCCACATTTTAACAGAATATTTTGACATCTTGAAAAAACGCATTAGCTTTGTTGCAGAGTTAGATGAGAAGATTGATACAACTGTGTTTGTCATTAAATAGCTAATAACTTCCTGGAGTCTCGGCTGATTGCTTGGCAACCTCATAGTGATGACAATTCTCCAGGAAGCCACTGTGCCTGTTAAACAAACAAGATATAACCATAGACCAGAGGTGGGACCAAATCATTGTTTTCCAAGTCAAAAGTAAGTCTCAAATCTTTACAATCAAGCCCTGAAGCAAGTTCCAAGTCAAGACTGACACGTCCCGAGTCAAGTCCCATATCCTAAGCATTGAGTTTTGAGTCCTATCATAAGTCATAATGTGCTCCTCACCAAATGTACTGCCATTTTAACAAGAGTAATCATATATTAAATTTACAAAAAATCATGAATTCTTTATAAAATGTACATTTGTTTAAACAAGTTTGTTAAAAAGTAAGCTATTAAGCTAACGTTAGCAAAACATTAGCTCTCCATCTATGTTAACATTAGTCTCCATTTAACAACTTCAAATGTTGAAATAAGTTGGAGAATGTTTTATCTTCGTCCATAATTTTGACCAAGATGTTTTGCATATTGCAATTTATTTTTTGATTACCACCGCATGGCTTTTGTAAACAAACAAAATCAACCTTGGTATCATTTTTTTCTGACTGTGGCTCTGTAATGTTATCTCTTCACTCTTCATCTCTGGCTCTGTCCTGCAACTTCATTGGATGCTGTTGGTTCAAACTAAGTAGATGTGGAGAATTAAGTGTGACCTTGCTGGGAAGAAATTACATTAACGTTAGTTGATTCAGGAAATGAAGGGAAATTAATTGATTCGTGACACATTTTTTAAATAACATACTTTTTCATCTTTGGACTCGGGGGAAATATTTTCAAGTCAAAACGCTCAAGGCAAACTGAAGTCATACTTCATCTCTGTTTAAGTCGAAATCGAGTCTTTTTATTTTGTCAAGTTGAGTCTGAAGTCATCACATTTGTGACTCAAGTCTGACTTGAGTCCAAGTCACGTGACTCCATTCCACACCTATGTCACAGACTATAAAAAAATAATGGATGTAGCTACTGTGACCCATTGATTTGTGGACTCCTGTTTTGAAGCCTCGAGTTTGGCATTTTGGACGTCACAATCTTGGATTTTCGGAGTCAGGAGCAATCATGTTTAATCAGAAGGGTGGAGCTAGGGAAGAGTGAGAGATGGATCTGACTGAGAGCCCCATGATGTGACCTGCAGACAGCCTGTCACTCAAAGCAGTCACTACCTTAGTCATGTGCAACTATAAGCTTTAATAACCACCCCCTTACAGTTGTCTTCAAGGAGGAAATTAGCTATAGAGACCAAAACTGTTTATTTCTGTTGTAAAGTTGGGCATTTTAACATGGGAGTCTGTGGGAACTGACTCAATTCTGGAGCCGGTCACAACTGGCCATTTGAGGATTTGCACATTTTGACACGTCCGTGTTGGCTTCATTTTTCAGCCCTGGACGTTGCTGCTTCAATATAACGTGCCGATTAGTGAGCTTTCAGAGGTGCTGATAGGCAAGTTTTGTTACCTTTGGACAGAGTCAGGCTGTTTCCAGTCTTTATGCTAAGCTAAGCTAACTGGCTGCTGGCAGAAGCTGCATATTCAATGAACAAATGAGTGGTATCGACCTTCTCATGTAATTCTCAGCAAGAAAGCAAATATCTGTATTTTTCAAAAATGTCAAAACTATTCCTTTAAGCAACATATTTATACATAAATATGTTTGTAAAAATTGAGCTCTTAAAAACGTATATAATTCTTTATATACTCAGCGTTGGACAACATGGAGTTTACATAATTAACATACAGACTTGTCACTAATTGATTTAAACGTCTCTCTAGGAGGCACAGAAATACAAACACAGAAACATCTGATTGACTCGTGACAACAGGTAGGACAATACAAAAACACAGGATCAACAATGTCAACAAAGAGACACTCCCATGGTAAGCTTAGCGATGTAAGAGGGATAAGCACACAACAGACAGCAGGCACAGCTGCATGCACAATAAGCAGACTCAAGCGAATCGACAACACAGTACTTTTTGGAGTAACAATAACCCCATTTCGTATTCCCCTCTACTATGGTACACTGGATCCTGGTGAGAGTTTCAGCTCAGGATGTCAGCTGACTTCCTTTCATCTCCTTCAACAAATCTGTGGTGTTTTTCACGTTTAAAATTAAACTTTTGAGTTTGACGCGAATGCTTTGGGGACAGGTGGTCTTCATTAATATTTTATGGAGGAACCGATCAAGGTCTGATTCTTACCCAGACCCCAGCTCCCAGAAGGATGTTTCCAATACAAATGCATTAAGATTAAATGGGTGGAATTTGCCTGGAAGGTACATGACAATGTGTGCATCCTGATGATAGGCTGTTTCCTGTTGTTAAATGCAGATAAATCTTTCAGCTACTTGCTGTCTAAGCTAAAGCCCCCCTGGTATCTCTAAAGCTTTGGTCCATTTCCCACTTGTATCTGATACCACAGGGGACAGGCTGTCCTAGCCCCCGCTCCTCCAGAGCTCAAGCATGCCAGCCAGCAGCAGAGAACCTACCGGTCTGCCTAGAACTCCTGGGAACCCAGGCAAGCCCTGGAGAGGATAGAAGACAGAGGAAGGTGGATGACAGGAGGGTGGGGGGACAGGTGGGTGGAGAACAGTGTTGAAATAGGGGAAACAAACAACACAGAAAAGGAAATGGACAGATAAGACACATATGAGGAGAGAGAGGAAGTGAGAGAGTGAGGTGTTAGCCGCACAGCTGCAAAAGGTTACTCTCTAAGGATCTATGAAGCCTCGGCTCAAGAGGGGGGAAAGAGAGCTCCATCAGCTTAGTGCTTGCAGCCAATCCAGTGGTTTAATCTGAAGATCAAGCCTAAAAGGAGGCCCCCTTGCTGGGTTACAGGTTACTCACTGGTTGACCTCGAAGACCAGCAGGCCCTGATGGGCCCTGCTCCGACATGGAGGGAAGGAAAACAAAAAGTGTGAGGAAGGGCTTAAAGGAATACTTCACCCACCAAATAATAATTTGTATATCAATTACTCCCCCATGTTATGTTGACATTGTGAGGAAAACTTGTTTTTCTAGCATGCCTCCGGTGAACGAAGAGGAATTCATGATGAATTGGAGTCAAAGGGGGACGTGACTAACAACAACAAAATGATATCAAAACATCCGTTAACAAACTCTAACATGCATTTTTGCTATAACATTACTATTCAAAACATTTGTGCATGCCAGTAGTGTGTGTGTGGGGAAGCTCGAGCATTTGAACTCTGCTCATGTATTCCATTAAGCAGAGTTTAAACACTCGTACTACTCATCTGAGCGTGAGACTGTTTACAAGGAAGCATTGATACAGATGTTTTAATATACTTTTGTAGTTGTTAACAAACCATCCCCACGCTACGTTTTTGGATTCCTAATTCACTGTGGAGACTCGCGAGAAAAGTTTTCCTTACTAATTCAAGGTAACACAAGGTGACTGAGTAATACACAAATTATTATTTTGTGGGTGAAGTATTGCTTTAACACCTCGACTCTCCTTTCGTCACATTTACTCCTGCACCCGACCATGCAATCATGACATACATTACATCATTTGTGTTTGGGCTTTTAGTGATCACTGTAAATAGTACGATAACGAAAAAGATGAAACCTTGAAGTGTCACTTTATGTTAACTGGAATCTTGCTTATTTAATATTTTCAAGAAGTTGAGTGGGTGCGTAATGTCATGCATATGAATTGATATTAAATATCACAATACTGTCAATTAATAAAGGCATATACTCAATAAACAAGAAGAGAATGTATTAATAACTATACATATTTGACTGTATATTGTTATTCTGATGAGAAAAAAAAACAAAAAAAAACTTACCAAGTCTGTTAAAAGACATATTCATTAAATAGGTACACACGTGTCTCTAAACCAAGAAAGTCATTACTATAACCTGCTCTGTTAAAAAAACAAAAGCACAATTTTGGCAATTTTCAGTTGAAATGTATAACTCACTATAGCTCACATTAAGGTCTCACACTTACCGGTTTCCCATCCTGACCAGGTTTTCCTGGTTCTCCTGCTGTTCCCTGAAATGACAACCACAGATTGTTTTTTATTAAACATGTTATAGATTTTCACCATGTCTTTAGTATAGTGGCAGTAAGATCAAAATCAGATTATCTCACTTTAGCAGTCTGTGATTATTACAATATTTACCAGCCGTAACCACGTCCCGATGGCTGGTATTGTTTTCACCTTGTCAGTCTGTGTGTGTGTGTGTGTGTGTGTGTGTGTGTGTGTGTCATCATGGCAAAGCATGGTCATGGTGACAGCAACTGTAGCAGGACCTACTGCCAAAGTGGTTCTGTGTACTTTGTCAGGCATTTATGTGCCTTTCTGTCTGCCTGTGGACAGATTTTGTGTCGGCTGTGAGTCGGCCCCTATTGTTTACTTAAAGGAGCCGGCACACAGCCAAATAATTCATGACTGACATCATTACAAAGATGGGTGTGGTTCATGCAAGGGGTCGGAGTTAGGGGGTTAGGATGTAGGGAAGAGGCCATTGGCCACCGCACTTTGTGTCCCTGGCCTACATTCATTTTAAGTCTAGTTCCAGTAGATTACCTGCAAGCCATCACGTCCTTTTTCTCCAGCCTGTCCTCGGTCTCCTTTATCACCTCGACTTCCCACAAAACCCTGTAAGACACATTAAAAAATCTCATTTACATATAGAAACATATGATAGTGCATGATATCACATACAACATGTGAGTTTCAATTATTACTATCATGTGTAAATCTTACCCGTTCTCCTTGAGGTCCCGGTGGTCCTGTAGCACCAGGCTCTCCCTTTGGTCCTGCAAGTCCTGGAGGGCCTCTGACCCCAGGCGAACCAACCAGCACTGAGTCAGCAGATGCTCCCTACAGTAAATACGCATAGAAATACATCCTATGTACTGTGTATCTTATATTTACAAAATATGGAATCTCTGTAGTTTCACTGCATCAACACCATGGATGAGAAGGAGTTTACCTTTTGACCTGGTGGGCCAGGTGCTCCTGATAGACCAATTTTTCCCTGAAAAACAGAGGAAATTCTCAGTTCAGCGTGAAAGTGTTTCCATAAACATGAATTTCTTCCAACTAACTTGATATGGAGTACCAAAATCAGTGTGACACTTACAGCATCTCCTTTGTCACCTTTCTCTCCTCTCTCCCCCTGAAATACAGATATACGCGATATTAGCATAATCATGTTCAATGATCTCATGAAAGGTTTGTCCACCCAACTCTCATCTCACCTTATCTCCAGGTCTTCCAGCCTCCCCTAGTTCCCCAGCTCGCCCAGGAACTCCCGGTATTCCTGGTTTGCCCGGCTCTCCAGCGGGCCCTGGTGGTCCTTCTGGCCCTCGCTCTCCAATGGCTCTACCTGGAGGTCCAGGTGCTCCTGAGAGTCCTCTCTCCCCTTGATCCCCTTTAGCTCCTCTGTCTCCTGGAAGGCCACGGGAACCCTGGTGCACAACAGGAATTGGAGAGAGAGAAACAAATCTAAATTTTGAATTATGTTGATTAGACATTTTAATAAACATCGAAATGTAGTGCACCATCTGGACTTGCTATGATCTTACTAGGGGTCTTCATCAAGATTTTCTATTTTCACTGTAAGCCTCCAAGATGCCCTTAGTCATACTTACATCTGCACCAGATGGTCCTCTCGGTCCAGTTTCACCTCTGTCCCCTTTGTCACCTTTTATGTCCCTCTGCACTGGAGGACTCAGTGGTATGTCCTTCCTGTCCACAACCACCTTCAGATCAGACATCTGTGTGGAGGGAGGGAAAAGGAAATGGTTAGCAAGAGCTTCAGAACTTTCAGCCACAGTCGCCTTTCTGTGAAGAGCTTGAGACATCAGTTAAAGACCAGTCATTTAGATTTCATTTCAGCAGCTGGAGGATTGCTTGTAATCAGCGTCTTCTTTCACATGCTCCACATGAGCCCAGAAAAAAGCAAACTACAATTGTCATTTACAAATGTATTCACACTAAAGCTCTGACACATATGATTTTACTATGAGAGACTGATCTGCAGGAATACTAAATGAGGTTCGCAAACTCCTCCGCCACGTCAGAGCAACATATTTCCTAAGAGGTGACAAATCAGTCATAAACCTATGTCAGTCATCGGTTGACGTCTATGACATCAATCCCCACATGCTGCTGTGTGTTTTAACTACTTGCTGTCCTACTTTATCATACCCATAAAAAACCAAGAGCCAATCCCATATTTGACCATGGCGACTCTGTAAACCCGCTTTTACTACACTGAAGACATTTTTATTTTCAAACCAATTGACAACAGCCGAACATGAGTTATAAATAAATCTGCAAGCTGTAAATGACATGATGACATTTGCAAGAACAAATGGACAAATGAAAACACTGTGCACTGGTCCCAGGACATTTTTCATTGGCAAGAACATTATGCTGAAATATTCAGCCATATATCCGTAATAGATACATGAGAAGTAACTGAGATTAAGGTGGTTCAAAATTCATAGAAAAAAATCCAGTTAAGATGGTCTTACTGTTCTTATGGGAGTCTATAGTTTGCAAAATGTATTTTTAGATTAACTCATATTAATTTTCACTTCTAAAAAATGACTAATTAAGTATCTGACAACTAACAAGGACCATATAGGTATTTTTTAAAAATGTACTACACCGACATATGTTTGTGGGTCTGTAGAATATTACGTTAAGGTGCATTGATGAAAAGAGTGACAATCAAAGTTGTCAATCCAAAACAAATTTGTTCTTTGAAGTAGAGCTGGCATGATAACAGATTTTCTCTACACAATTAGCATGGCCAAGAGTTCATGATAATGATATTATGCTGATAGCTATATAGACATCCTATCAGTTAAATTCATCTTTAACTTGGTTTATATGCGTTTTGTCTTTTTTTTTTGTCAAATGAATAAGATTAAAAATACAAATGTAGGCAGCTTGAGAAGGAGTCAGTAACCATAACTATATAGAAGCGTAAAAAAAGAGCAGTTACACTTGTATGGATAGTGTAACGGCAACCAGATGGCGTTGGGGAAAAGAAACAAATCGAGAAGTGAAGGAAACTTAAATGATTTGAGAGGTGCTGGATTATTTATATGATATTATCAGATGTGTATTATCAACATAATGTCAATCTCATTTTCGGGGCATCGGTGGCTTAGTGGTAGAGCAGGCGCCTCATGTACAAGGCTGTTGCCGCAGTGGCCTGGGTTCGACTCCAGCCTGTGGCCCTTTGCTGCATGTCTCTCCCTCTCTCTCTCTCTCTCCCCCTTTCACACGTCACTGTCCTATCAATTAAAGGCAAAAAATGCCTATAAAAATATCTTTAAAAACAAAACAAAAACATAATATCAATCTCATTTTCAAAGGTCCAGTATGTAGGTGCATCTATTGCCTAAAATGGCATATAATATTCATAATGGGGTTTTTATCAGTTAATAATCACCTGAAAATAAGAAAAGTCACGTTTTTGTTACCCTGGAATTAGACGTTTATATCTACATAGTGAGCAGGTCCTCCATGGAGTCCGCCATGTTGTTTTTACAGCAGCCCAAATGGACTTGCCATTTGTGTTTTCACGTCGGCACCATAGTTCTCCTACACACTTGGCACTCAGTAGAGGCTTCAGTTCTGCAAACTTACGGCTAGATGCCACTAAATCCTACACACTGGACCTTTAAATGTCACTTATCATCAGTACTATTGCAGTACCCCACCTTCTCATCAGTGCTCTTTATCAATGCCTACAAACATTTCCATCTCAAAAGGAACCATCAGGCTCAAACCTCATCATGTTCAAATCCAATGTAAAACTGTATATATGCATTTAAACATACAGTATTGCATTAAATGACATAAAATAGTGAAGACTAGAAACAGTTCTACACTTTTAAAGACTCAAGAAACAGAAATATGATAGAATATTTTATTATAAATTATGGTAGTGTGCAGTCTACATACCTGAATGCCAAAGCTGGCCAGAGCCTTCTGTACATCCTGGTATGAGAAACACACAAACATCATTAAATAGAAATAAACAGCAAGTCAGAGCTGAGTCATGGCAGATGATGTGCTGATGTCTTACCACCGCTGTCCCAGGTTTGCCTGGCATCCCATCCTCTCCTGGGTCTCCCTGCCAATAAAAAAAGTTATTACAGTGTCAACAGAAAACACATGAAACCTCACCCACGTCACATTTTCAATACAACAGAAATTAAAGTTTAACTTACAGCATCACCTTTGAGGCCAGGCGGACCTCTATCCCCCTGGAAGAAAGAAAGTTAGAAGGTCAAAAAACACGACTAAGTTCATTACTAATCTAAAGCAAACTGAGATCAACGCAGACAACCACGACTTACTCTGGCTCCCACAGCTCCAGGGATCCCAGGTACACCCTGAAGGACAGAGCAAGGACAATGATAAAAACATCAACAGATAAGACTGTGGGAGGGCTGAAGTGGCACACAGGGACAGATAGATAAAGCACATGCTGCTACATGTAGGAGAGATGCTGCTGGGGACAACATGACCACACAAGAACTATAAGCTCGATGTTTCTAGCTGATGTTTCTGTAAAATGACCTTGTCTGTGATAGTATGCAAAAAGAAACAATATTATAAAAACATAATTAAATGCAGAGGACTTTTTTTGAGTTATAATTATTTTATCTTCCATTAATGCACATTAGCCCTTAGAGGTCCATATCATTCCTAGCACACTGCGCTTCAGGAGAAGCAGTGATGTGTGTGTTCACTTCAATATGAATTTAAAGAATGTAATTAAAAGTAATGTCAAAGTCATGCATTCTCACAGGGGTTCCTGGAGGCCCCTGCGGGCCTGGGATTGGTGCTGCTTCAGCTCCTTTCACATACACCACCTGGGAGGCAGGGACAGTGTATAGATTAGTAAAGATAACAACCTATCATTCCCACTTACAATATTTTTCAAAGGTGTCTACATGTATCCCACCTGTCCAGGAGGACCAATGCTGCCAGGTACTCCAGGAGCCCCAGCAGGTCCAGTGGGTCCCGCAGACCCAGGAAGGCCCCGGTCCCCTTTCTGCCCGTCACGGCCCTGGCAAACACATGCGATTACACAACTGAGGCTGCACTTGCACAGTCTTTTTTCCTTAAGAAGGTTCCTAACCAAGTGAAATCACCCACAAGTATCTAAGTGGCAACCATGATAAAAGCTGGTAGAATTCTCTAGAAGCTATGGAAAGGTGCTTCAATGCTTCCTTTCTTATCTCCTCTAGCAAAGGATACACTAGACCATCCTTTACAAGCACCGTTCTGCCAGCAGCAGCATTTAAAGCAATGCATCATTTGGCCCTTTACAAAAACACATAAATCTGATAATAATCTTCATACAATCACACTTTTTGGGGATTCATGTCAATAAATACGAGTGGACAGGAGGGTGAGCGTGAGCAACAGCTCTCAGTGTGACAGTCATTTGGTTTACTTTTGTGACTGGTAGTCTATATACTTCCTTTACTTCAGTTGCTATCATGGGGTAATTTTTTTTACCAGGTCGTCTACGTTTATATAGCTGCGTGAAAACACATGGGCAGAGTATCTAAGAGGTGCTTTTAGTAGTCCATCTCGGGAACACTGTAATTTCACTACGGCAGACCCATGTCAGTAACATCAGCTGTCACATTATTACGCAGCCTAGTGCAGCAATTTTCAAAGTAGGAGCCCACGGGAGCCGCCAGGGGCACCAGTAAATTGGAGGGAAGATGAGGAGGAATGCTAAAAAAATAAAGGTTTGAAAAATAAACCTAAAAATTTTCTTTGCACATTGAAATGTCATTATTATTGCATAATAAAAGTAACTAAACATATCAAAAAGTTGTTGTTTTTACATTTCCCATTGTACTGTCAATGGGTTTTTAAAGACATCATGCAAAAGGGGGCCCTGGCCATGAGCTAATGTTATCTGGGGACCTCGGCATGAAAAAGTCTGTTGGAGTGCAGTTGTATTCTCTTAGCAACATGGTTGTCTTTTCCTTGGTCCTTATGAATTCTCCTTCACACACACAAAGACAAGTATTTACGAAAAGACAGAGAACGTATTTATGTGACTTTTCGGCTGCAGCCTGAGACTCTCTCCACACAGGGTTACTTCCTCCTGCGCTATAGTGGAGGCTGAACTATAAAATCAAAGCAGGTGGCCGCTGCCACCCCTCCACTGATGTTCTAGAGATAATTAATATGAATTTGCACATGAAAACAGCAGTCTGACATTTGGTGCCCCTCTGGATTCCTCTCAGAAGTGGCTCCCTCTTAAAGGCTAGGCTTGATCATTAGAGGCTAGTGAATTTATATAGCGGCTTCTCAGAAGCTCATTGATTCAGCAGTGAGTGAGAGTGTGATGGTAATGTCAATGTCAGGGCAAACTACAGTTGATAAATACACACTTGAGTGGGAAAGTGATGAGAAGAAAAGAAAGGAGTAAAGCTGATGTGTAATACAATAAAGTCAAGGATCGATACAGGAAGGAGGGGGTGAGACGGGGCAGGCTGACAGGACAGGATGCAGCGGACAAACAAAATGACGACAAAGCACAGAGAGATAATGATAGAAAGGAGATTAGGCAAAACTGACATCTCTTCCCGCTGCTCCTGATTCTCCTTTGTCGCCCTGCAGATTAAAGACAGCAGAGGAGGATTCAAAAAGAAACACAGACATAATAGGCACAATCTTTATGAACAAATTTCTAAAAAAAAGACACTAGCCCTACCCAGCTAAAGTATTCTTTGATTTCATTTTTAGTCATTTTCGTTTGGCATTACATGAGGTGTGTCCTGTAGTATTAAAAGCACTGCAAACAGTTCAAAACAATGGGCACAAATATGCAGTACTTAATCAAAGATACCAAACTTTAACAGACCATTTTACATGACAACATTCATGAGAGGATTTGTGGGGAAAAAAAAAAAAGATTTGTCACATGAAATGTTGTTAGTCACCTTAAAGGTATACTGTGCAGGATTGTTTATATATGAGCTCAACAGTGAAAGTAAAAGCCAGCCTCAGATTCATTCTTATTTGGCGTTTTGCCATGCTATATTTGCATTTTTTGGCGCTGTCTCTCTTGGATGCCTGCTGCTTACAGCCTGAAACCTGGTCGCTACCTTTTTATAAAGCCCCGATCTCACCTGAGGTCTGTGGGGATACACGCCCATAAACTTCCTGGACACAGAAAATAAGAACACACAGGCAGAGGGCAGAATCTCTGCAAATAAATTCACTGCCAAACACTTGTAGTGGGTCATAAGTGATAATTGAAAGGGTCTGAGTCTATACATTGTATATGAAAATCCTGCACAGTATATCTTAAGCTTGTGTTTATTGACTATAATCCCGAAACCCTACTTGACTAAACCTCGCCCTGCCTGTGCTAGATGATCATATAAACTGATAAACAGCCACAGACCTTTCTCCCATCTTCACCTGGCACACCATCCTCCCCCTGTAGGTCAAAAGAAAATGCATCACAGTCTCTAACAAACAAGCAAACTGAATAATGGCCACCCTGCTGCAGGAGCACTCTGATAATTCAGTGCCGCTGCCTCGGAGACTCACTTAGAGACAGCCATTATGCGGCAGACCCCGGAATAAATGTCCCTACTGCTTTATTGTCAAGGCCGTTACCAATTAGACAATGATAGAGAGACATGCTGAGAGAAAAAAAACAAGCACTGCTGAAGAAGATTAATATTTTGACTGTTCACAATAAATTTTAAAAGTATGTCAAGTCACTAAATGAATGTGCAACGTGTCATACTACAGTTTGTCAGGGAGAGTGGATGTTACATTCAAGATGCTGAAGTATATCGGCTAAGATAAGTTTTAGTGAGCAGTTACCATTTTGCCAGGAACACCGGGTTTTCCATCTTCACCTGCTTTACCCTGAAATATAACAACAACAATGATGACATAATTAAGTAAACGTGGTCCAAAGCAGACTTTGATGTATCTAAACAAAAGAACAGATGAGAGTGACAGAGAGATATGTAAGCAGCAAAGTAAAAGTTTGTGTGTGGGTGTATGTGTGTGTACTCACAGGTATCCCTGTATTGCCTGGAGGCCCAACAGGTCCTGGTGGGCCCTGCTCCCCTCTAAGTCCTGGTAAACCCTGATGAATCAAACCAACGCACATCACAGTGAGTCCTTTAATCTCACTTTTATTCAGACTAAATGCCTGCTAAGCTGAAAGTGATTTAGATTTGGTCACATTTTAGACTGAATTGAGGGGACGTAAGGAGAGTTAAAGAAAAGGTTTAACATGTATAATTTAGTAGTTTAAAAGCTGAGGGAGCACGAGCACCTGCCCCTTTGCCCCTCACTGTTGAAAGTGTCCTTTTCTCAAGTGTTTTTGTGAAGGCTTGCCTGTAGTCCGTAGCCATTAGACCATTTAACAATTAACAATAATTAAGCTATGAATAAAATGACCTTGCTGCTGTCAGACAGTTTACATCACATAATGTCATCCGTGACATTCTCTCCATTGCGACATGTGACGCCACACCTGCCACTCAGCGGCGATGTTTAGATGGTGAGTTTCGTTTGTGTGATTGATTTTCACATTACATTTATAGTATTAACATTACAAAGCATCACCTTCGAACTGTGCATCAGTTACGCAACAAAGGTTAAGTAGTGATCCTGACTGCTGGTTCTTACTGCGGTCAAGTGAGCCTTCGTTTGAGAACAACCTCTGTAGCTAGCCACTGCTTGGATTTGATGTTTGTTTCAGTACGGGTGCTTGGAGCAGTGAGCATGAGGAAAGATCCATATTTCAGCCTTAGCTTCTAACATTTGATATACCAAGTAAAACAACATGATATTGCACATTATATGAAATCCAATACAATAAAGTATCCTAAAAAATAAATACTGTACTTTCTTCAGAATCACGTTTACCTTCAGAATCATTATCATGGTCAATATTACATAATGGTCTCCTGTGAAACTGGACTGGCCTGGAGACATCTTTCCCTACAGTTGGCTTATGCAACTGAATACAAGAGTGAAGACTGAATTTCAAACTCTCCACAGTGCCCTCTGCAGCATGTGCACATAAAGTACACGTGTGATTGCAATTCAGGGGCAGAGGTGAGAGTACTGAAAATGTGTCTGATAAATAATTTAGATGATATGATCAAAATAAAACTGTTAACACACTTAGTACATGAATACAAAACTCACCACTACAGAGGGCATAACACAAACATATCAGCACTTGTTTTCATGATTACTGATAACTAATGCAATCATGTATTTTTCAACTACAACTACACAGCAAAACAATGAACTCACATCTCTTCCAGGATCCCCCTGTTTCCCAGGATCACCCTGCAACACAAAGAAAAAATAAATACAGTGAATCAGCTGCACACATTTATCACGCAGACATACAAAGTGTTTTATAATCAGGGGAAAAGATAAACTGAAGTACCCTCTGTCCAGGTGGTCCGGCAGCACCTGGTTTACCATCCAGACCAGGACGTCCATCTAACCCAGATGTTCCTCTTTCTCCCTGATGACACAGATGTTTATGGTTAGAAAACCACCTTTACATCACAGCCTAACACAGTTTAAGTGACTCAAAGGCTGTTTTGTAACATTACGCTGCTATTACTGCTTTTATTTATTTGCTTTATTCTAACTACACTGAGAGAAGCCTTGCAAAATTTCATTGTACCTGAGCTTAATGACAATAAAGATCATTCATTCATTCAATTCAATTTTGGCCATGAAGCTTTCTGCCACACACTCTGCACTTCATCCCACTGGGAATCTACCATGTGGGAAACAGAATCCGCTGGAACCAAGGACAGCGAGACCTGTCAGTTCATTCATTGTTTTAATATTGATGAAACGACATGGGTCGGCTGAGTAGGTGAGATCGTGAGGACCAGCCACACTGACTGATTTCAAACCTTCTCTCCAGGCGCTCCTCTTTCCCCTGCGTCACCCTGGAAATATCAGAGGTTAAAGTGATGTCAGTGTTTGTGAAGCAAATGAGCAAGTCAGTCAGGTATTTACAGATATGTTGACGTAAAAATGGAAGTGGAGAGGCAGTGAAAGCAAACTCACTCTTGTGCCTGCAGGTCCCCGTTGTCCCTCAGGACCCTTTATAGACAGCAGGGAAAGAACATGAAGTCACAAAGGATCATCAGTCGTGTATACCAGACCAACAGAGCGAGGGGTCGGCACACATACAGATGGATATACTGTGCAGGAGCTTATCAGATGCTCACAGAAGCATTTAGAAATTGCATGGATGAGGCAAACTCACTCGCAGGCCTGCAGTTCCGGGAGTCCCTGCTTCGCCTTTCTGACCTTTGCCTCCGTGCTCTCCTGGGTCGCCAGCATCACCCTGGAGAGCGCAATGATGGAACATTTTCAGCGAATCATGACATGTTATTTAGTTTTTCCACAGTGTGACTGCAATAGTAGCTGCAGTAAGACTGGACTGAGGTAGATACTCATTGCAACTCATAAGCTCTTTAGAGATACAGTACAAACCTTCTCTCCTCTGTCTCCTCTCAGCTGGCCTGTGATGTCAGACTGTTGAAGAGAGCAATCATTTAGCATCAAAACTGGGCTGCACTGAGTTGTGAGAAGTAATTCAATGATAAGAAGATGCTGGAGACGACAGTGTTACTAAGATTAAAGTGGTTTATCAATTATTACTTTGTTTTTTAAAGAAATTGTTAGAGTGCAACATGCTCACCACTTTTCCTGGTGGTCCTGGAGGCCCTTGAGGTCCCTTTAAGAAGAGGGTGAAATATGTGACTCCACATAGTAGATATAAAGATATATAAGCACTTTGTAAAAAGTAAGCAGGTGACAAACCACTTCTCCTTGCTCTCCTCTCGGTCCTGTGGGTCCAGGGCTGCCCTGTGATTGAACACAGATCAATAAAGATGCTGAGCAGCTGACCTTTTTCACTGTTTCTTCTCTCAAGGCTTCAGTGGAAAAGCACAAGAGCATATTGAAAAGCTGTCTGTGCAATGATACATAAATGTGTGCCTCACATTTCGCCCGTGCTCTCCTGGGTCTCCCATGTCTCCTTTCTCTCCTGCTCGTCCTGGCTGACCGGGTAGTCCCTGAGGTGGGGGGCAATTAAAAATGTCTGTTAACTGAACCGTCCATTGATGGCTGCTGTAAAGTTTTAGAATCCTGAATCTAAAATTTGTCAAAGACACTTTGTCCTACCCTTAGTCCTCTTTCTCCCGCCTTCCCTGGAAGCCCAGACTCCCCCTGACGAAAAGAAGAAAAGAGGAAATTTGCAGTGACATCATGTAGGTACATACTCATCTTTCAAAAATAAACACACAGTTTTTATACAAAGAGTGGACATTAAGATGTTGGCATCAATAAGAAGAAGAGGTCATACTCACAGGTGTGCCTTCGTCACCCTTCTCTCCTCTCTCTCCCTACGAAAAAAACATACAAATACAATTAATTTCAACACCAACAGAGTAGAGGGCCAGAACAGAGAACAAAAGAAACTGTGAGAAAATTGTCATGCACACAAAGAGTGTTTGTTTTTACCTCTAAAATGGCATCATCAGAAAGAGATGCATGTTGGAAGGAACAGAAGGAAGCTTAACAGGTGGTCTGATCTTTGATTACAGCACTGAGAGCAACGTGCGCTAACAATAACTGCTTGATTATGTTTTTGCGATAGTGCAATGTCTTTCTTCACTGTCTAAAAAAAAAAACACCAAAAGAAAGGCTGGATAACAACTTCCTACTGTGTTTAGAGAATGCTAACAACAAGACACAGAAAGAGAGGAAGCGAGTAGTTACAGTCGAAGAGTCAGTTGTGTTATTTTTCACAGTTAAGTTTGGGATGTAGCCAGACCCTATACACCACTCTCACCGCTTTCCCAGGAAGGCCAGGCTTTCCTGGGAGTCCTGGCCGCCCATTCTCTCCCCTCTCTCCTGGGTCACCTGCATCTCCCTAAGGAACAGTTAAGAGTTCAATAATCAAATAATCCAAAATAAACAGATACACTGATGAAAAAAAACTCAGCAGGCCTCTCACCTTGGCACCCGGCCTTCCACTGATACCAGGCTGTCCCTGAGGGAAGAGCACATGTTTTATGTATTTTTGGTTTGAGTGGTTTTGGGGCATGACTTACACTGACAGGTGGCACAAGGGAATGCTTCATGAATAATGGATGCTATTGTCAGGAATAAATCATAGCAAACATTAGGATTGGGCCATTTGTTGTTCTGATAAAGACGATGACTCCGGTGTGAACTCACTCTCTCTCCCGGCTCTCCTTTAGATCCGGCAGCCGACCCTCCTAACCCTGGAAGACCCTTTAAAAAAGACAAAGCACGAGATGTCATTGAGACAGATGCCAAACTGTAAGTGTACCGCACAGACAAACAATGCCATATTTTCCAGAGCACTGTCGTCCCCTGGTTGCTTACTCTCTCTCCTCTCTGTCCTGGCTCTCCTTTTTCTCCCCTTGGACCCTCGGGACCAGTCTGGCCTCGGTCCCCCTTTGGGAAACCCATCAGAGTAAAGGAACAGTGAGCTCTGTCAAAATTATTTTTTTTTTTTTACAAGAACAGAATTTGATGGCTTACCTGCTCCCCTTTCTTCCCGGGAAAACCTGGAGTCTGCATGATTTGAATAATACATTAAGGCCTTGTCATCACAGACAGACTGTCACTGACATTAAATGCATATCCAAAATGAAAGGATGGATAAATTATTATATGTCAGGCTTTCTTTCTTATCTGATAACTTACACTTCTGCCGGGCTCCCCGCGTGCACCTTCATTTCCCTGGGAACAGACAGGTGCGCTTGTTCTTTCATCTTTGCTTGGAAATTCATTACATCAGATTATGAAACGTTCAGTGATGGAATCACGTTCCTATTGACCCGCTGCTTCTTGTATGATTACACTTAATTTAATCAGTCTCACCTTTTCTCCTGGCGTTCCAGCGGGCCCTGGTAAACCCTGATGACAAATGAAAAGACTCATTCATGAGACTCTATACATTCTTAACAATCAGAGCATGCAGCAAATATGGAAGAAAAAGGCAAGCTGATGTCATTAGCCAATACTACATGGCAGTCAGTCACTCACTCTCAACCCTGGTGTTCCTGCGAGGCCCGGCTTCCCAGGGTCGCCCTGTGAGACAACATTATTCAGATGACAGCACTCAATTCCACTGAAAGAAAAAGATGTCAATCGTGAAACTAATGTAAATTAAGAACTAAACCAACAATGTTGTACTCACTCTTTCCCCGGTTTCACCAGCCGGTCCTCTCTCCCCCTGCAAAGACACACGTCCAGATTCACTATTTTTTGCAAATGTGCCTGTTCTGTGACTTTTCTCACTAGAGTCCTGTTAAAAGACTTTCCTTTGATTGTCTGACTTAAGCCAGGCCCAGACTACATGAGTTTTAAAATCCTATCAGCATTTGAAATTGGGTTGCATCATGCACATAAGGACAAACTTCACAAAATATTCAATCTCAAACATGCACACACCAAAAGATTTGAGAATAATGGCGCATCACACACTACAGGATATCATTCAGATTGTTGTGAGAGGGAGCCACACAAGTGATCTCATGGGGAAGCAGATGTAAACAAAACAGGGACAAACATAATGCAATGCTTTGCAGTGACAAAAACACAAAAGCAGAAGGCTTATCGAGTCTCGGAAAATGTTTGGGACACAGTCAACCCAGGTTGTTGTATCTTCAGTGAGAGCTGGAGGTGAGATTTTAACTGTCAGTTTTAATATCTATCAACAGTAGTATTAGCTAACATTGGTCTCAAGAGCTGGAATGATTACCATTGATTAGCAACACAATCAGCTGCTCTGTACAGGTGTAATCACCCAGATTTTAAATCCTAAATATCAAACATGTTTGAAATTATCGGGGCGGCACTGATTAACCTGCGAGCAGTTTGGGAAGTTTACGATTGGAACCTTAAACCTCTCACATTAACAGATAATCGGGGCTGAAAATTGGTACCAACAAAGGTCCCAGACTGATTTCTACTCCATTTGCTGGAAAAGGTGAACTGGGGATAAATCTGCCCAAAACTCCTGTAGTCTGAGTCCAGCCTTACTCGATAAAACCTGCATCTTATCGAAAAGGGTGACTGATCTTGGTGCCAGGGGCGTATGGTAGTTGGGATGGGCCCCAGTGCACATAATTATGTCGGGCCCTCATGCCAGATTTTGCTTCGAAACAGCTACCGTATATTTTATAGTATCAACACATGATCAAATACAGACTTCATGTTAGACAACATCAACACATATTACCAATCATCACTGAAAATGACAAAAGTACCAAATAAAAACATTAAGAAATGATTAAGTGGATTTAAAAAAAAAAAGTTCATTCATAGTTTATATTGTTTATGTAAAATTAATATATAATTTTGTGACTAACTTTACTGCCTATTTTACAAATGAAAAAAGACATATTGACAGAGATGGGTTTGCCTTATTGAGGGCATATATAGCAGATAACAGCATTAGTATTTTAACGTACTCTTCTTTGAACACAGGCGTATGTTTGAGGTGGCAAGTTGAGGCACTCGTAATGGCCCATTCTCTGCTCTAGAGAGAGCAGGCCCTCCAACCACTGTCTCTATGGGCCACCCTATCCCATGGGCCCCAGTGCAACTGCACTGCCAGCACTGTCTATATTTACACCCCTGCTTGAGCACACAATGTAACTTTTAAAGTGATCATACTGTACATTTGCTACAGTTACTTGGGATGGTTTGCTGCCAGCATTGAAAAGCCTCTGAACTTGCACAGGCTCATCCCTCACAGACAGATCAGACGTACATCTCATCCAAAAAAAAAAAAAAAAAAAAAAGACCTTGGAATTGACATTAAAGCTGCCTTAAAATGCAGGTATAAACAAGCTCTTTGCAGCATATCTTTTATTGGATTGCAGGAAAACGACCACCTGCTGTGTCCCCACCCTGTTCTAAGTAACACTTCTTAACTTGAACTTTTCAGACCTTCGTGAACTTCATGAGACACATGTCTGGCCTAGAAAGATTGTTAATATTATCATCCCACTGTGACCTTTTGACTTTGTTGAATTTCATGTGCTCTTCCTCGTGGTAAAATGTACTAAACCTGGTGCCATATCTGTGAATATAGACCACAGTAATTTAGTTGATTAAAAACCCACACTTGCACCACACAGACTCTCACAGTCATACAAACACAGACGTGCACATACTTGACTCTGATCACGTGACTCACCCTGTCTCCCTGCGATCCAGGCTCACCTGGCTGTCCTCGGTCACCCTATCAGAACAGAGAGAGTGACAGAGATCATTCCTCCATTAACAGCTTACAAAGGAAGTGATTTTCCTCACCTTTATCTTACCTTGCTACCAATTTCTCCTGGAGGCCCACGGGCACCCTGAAAGACAAGAGCAAAATGATTAATCATAAATATATTAGTTCCAACAAAGAGATGATGTTTAAATCCTGTTTATGTGTGTGTTTGTCTGTTAGTTTGCAGGAAGTAGCAAGAGAGACTTGAGTAGAAGTACTTTTAAATGTGATAGCGCCACTGTGTGGTTATTTGTAAAGCACCTTATACCTTTGCTCACACTTCCTAAATTGTGAGTAACAGAAGAATAATTATTTTTTCTCTGCCTGACTTTTTTTAGGTTTTAGGATTGCACAGGCGCAGCAGAGGTATGTTCTGTCAGTGCCTTCTAGTATTTACTGTATTTATATGATGTGCAAAAACCAGATTTGACATCGGCCATCTGAAATTTCTGTGTGTTCACCTTACCCTGTCCCCAGGCTCTCCTTGCCTGCCTGGAGGTCCAGGTGCCCCATCACCAACATCACCCTGAAAAACAAACACAAGCCTTTACACTGGGATACACACAAACATGCTCACATGCTCACAAACTGAATCAGTCTGCAGCTACCTTGTCTCCTTTACTGCCTTGTGGTCCTGCTAGCCCTCTAGGACCCATAGCCCCTGGAGGTCCTGGAATACCCTGATAATAAAAATGCAATTAGTAAATGCAAAATACACCCTTCATTTGCAGACAGAGTTCATCTGCAAACTAAACATGTCAGCACATTGGCAGTGATTGACAGCGCTTACTGGGGAGCCCTTGTCACCCTTCACGGCCACCCCGCTGCCTACTCCTGGAGGTCCCTGTCAGCAAAGAGAGATAAAAGCTGAGAATCATTATGTTCGCGTGCTCCGTGAGATATTTCTGCTGTGAGAGGGCAAGCTGGTGATGGTGTGACTCACCCTGTCTCCTGGGCTGCCCTTTTCTCCCTGCAGAAAGAGAGACAGAGAGGATGCTGAACACTGTTGTTGGGAAACATTCTCGTGCGATAACCCAGGACACTGATGTGCTTTATAGCTTCATGCATAGACACTCTTAATAACAGGTTTATGCCCAAACATCCCATCTCTCTGCTACTCCTTATAGTATCTTAACATTATGGCCATCTGATGACAACACAGCACTAGGACAAAAACTAAACTATTGACATAAAAGGAGTAACTGGTCATTCTTTCTGGTCCACAGAAAACCAGTGTTTTCATTACTGAGAAATTAAAAACTGTTGTTTTAATGTAGTGCTAGTTTACAGAGTTTAACAATCAATACAAGACTAAAAGTTTAAGCAGTGTAACTCATATGATTTTCCAGATATGCACTACAAATTCCATCTGTCTCAACTATCAAATATGAAAAATGGGTTTTGGAAAGTATAGAAAGGGTGAAGTTTGTGTGCAGTTCTCAAATTTGCAAGGAGAAATATCCTTGAGATTGCCATCAAAACCCTGAGCTATAAAATAAAATCATATAATATAAATACCTCTAAAATCTCACCCTTCCTGGCACATAAGCAAAGCTTGTGCCGCCACTGAAGAAATACTACGTGGCTCAATGCTACCACCATGTGCACGAGTCTGACAACAGCAGTTTCATCTTGGAGCAGTGCTTTGAGCCAAAGAACTCCACTGAGAATTCACTGAGGTCTCTAAAATGCCTCAAGAAAACTGAGGAAAGTTTTTTATAGTATGTGGAAATCTAAATAAGAGAATCCATCAAGGAAACAGGTTTAAATAAAACATTTCACAACTGCATCTGTTATTAAAATAATGTGAATAGGGTGGAATTGATAACATAATTAACATAACAAAATTAAAGGTGACAGATGACAATTTTTTATTGGCTGAATGAAAACAACAACAGAATTTCAATGTCTATAAAAAGCATTCTTGTAAATGTCATGTCTGGAAGCAGGTCAGCAAAACAGCCCAACTTTTTAAGATGCCAAAGCAAGTTTGTATAGCAAATAATTTGAAATTCTGTTTCGATTATGTATCATTACAGTAGTGAACTGAACACACTCATGTTTACCAACACAGCTGGTCCCTATGTCAACCCAAAAGTACAGAAAGGATGACAGCAGCAAATGACTGAACATTGGTAAGTCCAGCTTTAAAAGGACAGAAAGATGCTAATGGCAGTTTTAAAGACAGCTTGTGTTTTGATTGCGAGTTCTGATTTGTGCAACATCAGAGGGTGGGTGAACTTGATTGAGTGCTCTCTGTTACAGGCCCACATTTAGGTTAGAAGAAAACATTTTTCTTGCATGCCTCTGGTGAACAAAGAATCCAAAATCGGATAAAATTCCCCATAAATTGAAGTCATAGGGGTCCGCATATAACCATATCAAAACTATATCAAAACTTGTACAGTATAATCCATGTCTCATTTATCCAGTCATATGCTCTTTACTAAAAACCCTTCTTATTCAAAACTGAGCTGAACACCTGAGCTTCTGGTCTACCACTGCCTCAATTGGTAGTTTGTGTTAGTGTGTGACTTTGGTGTTTTAAAGGGTTAATCTGGCTTTACCAGAGTCACACAATAACAGGCAGATAAGCAGCTCACATGTTCAATACAGTTTTGCTGTTTTAAATGACCTATGACTTTAGTTCATCAAGAATTCTATCTGTTTTTGGAGCCTTCATTCACTGTGGAGGTGAGCAAGAAAAACAAGTTTAATCCTTTAAGAGCTCATAGTACACTGAAGTTACTGTCTACTGGGGGAAACGCAGAGAAGCAGAAAGGGAGACTAACCTTGATGGAGAGTCCTGGTGTTCCTGGAATACCTGGGCGGCCATCCTGACCAGATATCCCTGGAACCCCAGAGGCACCTTTGGCCCCATCGCTGCCTGGCCGACCTGGAGTACCCTTAGTATGGAACACAAACACTGGTTGGTAAACAGAAATCACTTTTTCCATCCAAAAATCTAGACAGCTACACCCGACCTTTCTACTGCAGCTGGACATCACATTACAGATGAGAGTGTGGAGGGTTTGTTTAAGTAACGCCCGTTGAGGATAAATGTGGTCACACAGAGCAAGTTTAAGATTGTGGTCAAAGTCACAGCTTGTTTCTTACTGGTATTCCCGGGAGGCCTGGCTCTCCTTTCCTCCCCGGAAGACCCCCTCCTGATACAGAGCCCGGTTCACCCTGAAGCATCAGCAGAGCAGTGTGAACAGACGGACACACTTCACACATTGCTTTGTTCAAACTGGCACAAAAAAAAAATACAAACACGTGTAATGTCGGTTAGGAAAAAGGTTAGAAATGGTCACTCAGCTCACCCTTTCACCTTGACTGCCCTTTGGTCCTTGTGCCCCTGGCACACCTGATTCACCCTAATACAATAAAACAACAGTTAGTAGGCACTGTACCTCATATTCAAATATCCACCTAACAACTCAGGAGAACAAGAGTTACTCACTGGATCTCCCCTGATACCGGGCAGGCCCTGTGGACCCTGAAGACACAAACACAACATCATTTTATTACCTCTGTGCTAATATGACAACATCAACACATCCACTGTGTCCATGGGCTCTAGTCCCTTTCACAGACTGTATATGAAGAGGGACTGCATGGGAGCTCCCCAAAAGTGAAGCCAAAACATCTTGATCACCCCTGGTGGCTGGCTGCAGTTATGGTCATGAACCCTGTCCCCTCCATGTGACCAGATGGGACCAGATGTTCGTTTTCATATTAAGTTTGGGTTTGATTAATTATTTGATGCTATAGAAAGGGGGTGTGACATCATGATTGACCGCTGTGTTTCACTCGTGATCGGGTCGGACAGGTGTATGGGTGGGAACTCGACACCGCCAGAGATCACTACTACACAGACTCTGACTCCAGATGACATCACCAGCTCAAGATGGCAGTGCCTCTATCTGGGATATTTTGGCTTCATTTTTGTACAGTGGGAGGAAGTGAATACACATTGTCCTTATTCATCGTTGTCTGTGGTCCCTCTACTCACCGGGACCCCTGCATTTCCAGGGGAACCTGGTCGTCCCGGCAACCCTGGACTTCCATCAATGCCAGGAAAACCCTGAACATAAAACAAACTGCCTTTTATTTCAGTCCTCATGAGGGACGCTTTTATAGTTTTGGCGTGGCTTCGGCTGAACTCACTCTCTCCCCCTTTTCTCCTTTCACCCCCCCTGGGCGCTCAATAGGGATAGTCTGGCCTGGTGGACCTGGGCGTCCTTCAGGTCCTCTGGGGCCTTCCCTCCCAGGCAGACCATCACGACCCTATATCACACACACACACACACACACACACACACACACATGAACAGCACATTAGTATGTATGATGCATAACTTAAATCCGTACATTGCTGTCAATAGGTCAGTGTTCATGAATGACTCACAGGCTCTCCTTTGCGTCCATCTGAACCATCTCTGCCTCTCTCACCCTGTGGGGTCAAACAAAAAACAGCTGAAAATACAAATTACAAGGACAGCGGGGAAAAAAAGGTAGTAACTTTCTGCACTGTACCTTCTCTCCACGTTCTCCCCTCTCACCCTAAAAGAAAGTGAAAAGAGTAAACTACAAATCATGCAGTATAACTTAAAGGATGTTTCTGGCACGTCGTTACTATCATAGGTTTAAAGGTTTCAATACAGCATGAAAGTGGAGTTAGAGGACTTACCCGAGGGCACTGAGCGGGACACGCCTCTGGACCTGGACCTACCTAAACAAAAAGAGGACAGTAACATTAGACTCAGATGTAAGGATAGACCGATACATCGGCTGGACGATATATCAGGCCGATATTTGAGTTTTTTACTTGTATCTGCATCGGCCGATACGCATGTGGGTTCGCGGATTTATTTTTCCCTGGCATGATTTACAGACAGGCATCCACGGGCAGCTCTGTGTTGCCGGAAGACCCTGCAGAGCACATGCAGCGAATCCTACTGTGTATAGTAGTTGTTGTTTTATTTATGCTTCAGCTTAAATATTTGTTTATTTTATAAAGACATTACTGGAAGATTTAAGAGCACTGAACTCTTTTTTTTATTTGAATGTATAATAATAATAATAATAATAATAATATTCTACCTGTTCTACCCCAACTTTCCATCTTGTTTTAGTATTTTTTACTGTTCAATAAATGTTTCTTATTTTAAACTTGAGACCTGTAATATTTGTTATCATTGTGTCATTTTTTTGATGTAAATTGAGGGAGCAAAAGCAGTATCGGCCCCAAATATCGGCTCAAGAAAATCGGCAGTCCATAATCGGTCATCGGCTAAGGGTGAAAATCGGTATCGGCATCGGCCCTAAAAAATCCATATCGGTCTATCCCTACTCAGATGAAAGAGAATTTTCAGTATTATCTCCTCCTTTACTACAGAACTTACATCCCATGCTATTTCCATTAAAAAAAAGCCACAAAATACCATAAACAACATTTGAGAGTGAGAGTCATAGTATTGTAAAATCACAACAATGGGAAAATGTGTTGTTTTACTCTTGGTCACTACTGTGTCAGCTGTACACAGATCACGGCAAGCTTGAAAACAAAACTATAAACAAAACATGCTTTTTTTCCAGGTTTCTTCTTACGTCTGGTATTCTGGCGATACCACAGAGCAAGTCTGCCAGACCGGTATGTGCAGAGTCCAACTGTGCTGCATCACGAGCATACAGGATGTTTTGGGTGCTGCCATCCGTCACTGCCCGACGCAGCTCCTCGGTATCCGCCTGGTCTATACCCACTGCTAACACTGTCACACCTGACAGAAAACACACACACACGGACACACAGCAACAGATGTGTCTAATGGAACAGAGGCATACAAGCATATGACATTTTTTTTATGTTTTTCAGCTTGTTTAAAGAGACAGTTCACCCCAAAATCAAAAATACATCCATTTCCTCTCTCCTGGGACGCTATTTATCCATCTAGATTGTTTTGGTGTGAGTTACAGAGTGTTGCAGAGTTGAAGCATGCATCTACTTATCAATGAGAGGCTCAAGCTTGTGACAGCGCAAGATGAACATCAATGGCGTCCTCCTCGGCTGAGCTATAACATTAGCTAGCTCAGAGGTGCTAGATGAGCTAGCAGTAGATGCACGCTTCCTTCTGTGTGGCAATATGATCGATAGGTGTAGTTCAGTAGAAATTTTAAGCACAAGCAGAGTGCCATTATATTGGAGAAGAGGCAGATTTCTCTACGGCCGATATCGCCAACACTCTGCAACTCACAACAAAACAATCTAGACTGATGAACAGCACTACAGGTAAGAGGAGAAATATGCATTCTTATTTTTGGGGTGAACTGTCCCTTTAAGTTACAGATTGGGGCATCTGTCACAGTGACTTAACAGGTTTAAGGAAAGTAAATCAATTTAAATACACTTTTGTGGATCAAATCTTGTAACAAATTGTCAGGATGAAACCACTATTCATCTGGTGGCTGCAGGTAGTTACATCCAACCAGGTTACAGCTCAAACCCTAAGTGTCATCCTACAGGCGACTGCATTGCGACTGCTTGTTTGTCTGCTCCAGCACACCTGAAGCCTTGAGACTGCTGGCTGCCAAAGTCAGGTTGTCAGCTGATTTTTTGTCAGCAATGATGATGACAGCACCGGGGACCCTTGGTCTCCGTCCCGCTGAGGGGGTCAGAAGATACTGCCTGGTGTATCTCACCGCCTCACCTGCAGAGGGAGACAGACAATGTCACAACTCCTAACACACACTTACCGAGCACTAAGTTCAAAAAATGACATGTATCAGTGAGAAGAAACTGACCAATGTTATTCCCGGGGCTTTCATCAAAGGGGGTGGACTGGATTTCTTGAAGAAGTGTGTCAGACCTGCCATGGCGATTAAGCAGGAACCATATTTTGGGTCTGTAACCGTATACAACAACTCCCATCTGAAACAGGTAGAAAATAATGAAAATGTTGTCAGTAGACGACTAAAAAGGACGATAGCAGCAGATTCAGGTTGCATTTCTCTACTTGAGACTTATTCATCAAGTTCAGTGCCTGTGAGTCACGGGGTCCGATACTGTTGAGCGACCGTGCTGCACTTGTGAGGAGTTCACGCAGAGGTCTTGCAAATCTAATCCGATCGGTCGATGCTGGCACCACAAACACCACGTCCAAACGCCCGCCCACACACACTGCAGACAGAGTTTGTGGGGTAAGTATGGTACCAAAAGATGTTTAAGGGTATGGGTATGAGTATATGAAAAGCCATGTGTCAGTGTGTTACCAGTGTGCTCATCTACAGAGGTCTCTGTTCCCAATCCACTGACAAAAGTGGGCTGAATGGTGAAGTGATAACGACGACCCAAACGCAGCCCAGTCACCTGGTAAGAGCTGGACGCAGCAGGGAGCGTAACAGACAAGCCTATACCAGTATCTGAGAAATGTGCATGGTTAAAATGATAGGACTGAAGAGCAGGCGTATAAAAGTTTCAACAAAATTAAAAACACACAACATGTCTCACCTGTCTCGTCTCTCCAGCGCAGAATATATCCTGTGGCACCTGGTAGTGGAGTCCAGCCAAGCCGCACAGAATCCCGGGTAATCTCCGCCACTCGTAAAGTTGTGGCAGTTACTGTCGGAGGGGGGGTGTAGGCACCAGCTGTGTACACAGACGCAGTGAAGAATCATTAACATTTCATTTGACATTTCATCAAATATTTTTCTTGAAATATAAGAATTTTTACATGGTGCAATACTGAACTATTGGATGAAACAAAGTATTCACTTGCACATGAAGTTCAAAGGCCTCTCAGTGACTTTCAAGGTTTTACTTTGTGACTTAATACTGGCATGTTTCAGGGTAAGTCTTGATATACAAGATATTATTGAGGCCAACAATGCAATATGAAGTATGTTATATTTTCCTAATTTCAGCATTTGTGAACAAAATTGTTTTCAAAAATGTCAGGTACTGTTAAACTCATCCATTCCTTTAAAGGAACACTTCACCTTGCAAATTTAGCATTTGCTTATCAGTAACTCACGCCATGTCATGATGAATTTATTAAAAAAAACTTTGTTTTACTTGCCTGCCTCTAATAAACAAAGGATCCAAAAAAAAAAAAAAATCAAGAAAAGTCTTACAGAACTGAAGCCATAAGGGTCTATGTTTTAACAACAGCAAAACTACAACAAAAGATCCATTTGCAAACAGTATAATCCAAGTCTCACTATCCAATCATATGCTCAGTACTTGCCAAACAGTCAGCCTTTTACTACAGGGGATTGAGTGTAAAGTCAGACTTATCTCTGGTCTCGTCAAAGCCAGAGTCCAATCGACAATGAATACGGGAGCTGTTCAGTTGGTTTGTTTATGTTATTGTGTAACTTTGTTGAATCTGAACTAACTGTACAACAACACCAAAGTCATACAATAACAACCCTGTCGCAAAGGGCTGTCTGTTTGGGAAGAACTGAGCATAAGACTGGATAAATGAGACTGAAAGAATTTAACTTTAAGAATTTTCCCCATTTTTTGATTTTTTGTTCACTCAGGGCATGCAAGAAAAGTTTTCTCCAAAAATTCAATGTTAACACTAGTGAGTAATTGATAAACAAATGTTACTTTGGGGGCTTAAGTGTTCCTTTAAGAAGGCTTTTAAGGCTGCTTTCTCCTTTTGAGGATTATTAAATCTTTTCAGGAACCTTGAAATAATAACTGAATATGGAAAGACGGGACTCACGTGTAGTGACTCTGACAGACACAGGGGATCCCTCTCTGTTTTGAACTAAAGCCATGACCTGCACCTCATACTGAGCTCCGGGATCCAACTGCTCCAAATCCACTGCTGTCACATCTCCGCCCACCACCTGACTCCTCTCTTCACCACCTGCAGCGGCACACAATCGCAGTAGTGAGTAGTGTACAGTCAAACTTTAACTTGACATGCATATTTTAAGGGTTAAAATGATGCTTTTGTTATGACACTGAGATGTGAGACCTGTATGAAAAGATTTCATCACTAAAGTGAAATGGAACAACAAAAGATGTACCGTCTGTTCTCCTCCAAGACACCCGATACGCTGTTGCTCCTTGGACACCAACCCAAGTGACTCGGACAACCTCTCCACGGGCCTCCTGGACTTGCAGTGACGTCACAGTCCCTACCACAGTCTGATCTGACTCTGAAGGTTGGAACAGGAAACAATAAGTAAGTTATTTTATTTTATATTAACCCTCTTATAGCCAAGTTTCTCTGGACAACAGCAACATTGTGTATTTGACAAAACTCAGTGTGGTACCTGTCCTGATGTTCAGAGTGGTAGGACTTCCTTCTCGAGAGCCAATAAGTGAAGAAACTAACACAGCGTAGGCGTAATCTGACTGTAGTCCATCAATGGTGAAGGAATTGACGTTGGCAGCCACATTACGCGTTGTTTCAACTCCTTCACCAGCAAAACATGGCAAAGAGATGGAAATGTAGAAATTTGTGTCTTTCACCAACTAGACAGATGAGGATAGAAGAGACTGACAGCCAGATCGCTACCCACATCTAAACACCAAGCTGTCATTACTCTTTATATTACCCTGTTGTCAGTCGATGGATGTATCTTGTGTGTTTAAAATAATTAGTATTAGTATTAGTAAAATAATTAGTTCTAATCATTGCTTACCATCTTCACGACGCCAAGTGATCTTATAGCCAGTTGCCCTAGTGGAAGGTGACCATGCAATGCGTATCTTCTGAGATGTGACGTCAACGATGCGAAGGCCAGACACTGATCCACCGTGGGGATTAGTCCGACTGGACAGCGTGACCACCTCTCCAACGCGTTGATCAACCACAGATGCAACACCAATTACTATCGCCTCATCTGGCTGCAGGCCGTCTATGGTGAAGGATGTAGCCTCCGCCCCCAGAAGACGAGACTGCTCTGGATCTGCAAGGCACAACATGATGTCAAATCAGGCGATTAAAAAAAAACAGAAGAATATTAAGTTAAGATATAAAACTTCAAAGCCAGCTTCAAATACAGGGTTCAAAAGGATAAACTCCCAAACATGACAAGACAGAACACTTACTGTTGCCTTGTCTCCAAGTAACCCTGTAACCTGTCGACCCAGTAACACCTGCCCAGGCAATTCGAATTCTCCGACTGTTTGCGTTTGTCACTCTGAGGTTCGTCACTCTGCCAGGACCTTGCTCTGGAATGAAGGACATACAGGGACTCATGTGGCAAAATTCAATGTAAATCTTTGCAAGAATTCAAACCTGAGTATTTCACTTTAAGAGAAACTACAGGTACACAGAGAAAAGTTTGTACGCTACAAATTCCAACTAAGATATTAACAAATATGTAGACACGTACTGTATGTTGGGTAACTGCCTATATCTAGATACACCAGGTATACATACTATAGTACTAAACAGTATCTGTCAAGAGTGGTGTTGATAGTACAAGATAAATGAGAGACGTTGCTTACAACAGCTCTCTGGAACACTGGACAATATTTCTTCAGTCCAGTTCGAATCGTCCTGAGATTCCAACTGAACTGTTTAGATAGATGCTAAATAAGGTGATCCAATAAGATGTGTTTACATGCACCAAAACATTTAATCAGAATAGATTATTTCTGATTTAAGCACAATGGTTCAACCTGTTGTGCAGCGTCTAATCTGTCAGAAATTTAACAGAACAAGAAGTTTTTCTATTTCCAACCTTAATGAGAAAATTCAATTCATTCAATACATAAAGCGTAGAGAAAGACATGGTTCCACCCTTAAAGTAAGAGTAACCTAGGTTACAGTGACATACAGACGTTCCCAAACACCTCACATGCAGATTATCAGTCAATGTTATAATTTACAGATGTTCTCTAAACGTCTCATATGCAGACTACTGCAACTGACAGCAATAGAATAACAAGCTCACATAAGGCTACTGTTTAAAATCAAGCAATCCATTTATTAATCAGAGCACTCACATATGAATGTGGCACAAGCAGTGCTTTAAATATGTTTTTAAATTATGAACAATTTTCTGACAAAATCAGCCGGCTCATATTGAAACAGCTGTTGGCATGTCGTGTGCAGCGCGTCCAGCTGCGTCAACAAATGTTATCACCATGTTTGGTGAACATCTGCAGAAAGAACATCAGATCAGCATTGACATGGTTATTGGGTGCTAATATTTTCTTTTTAAAACAGATTATCAAAGGTTTACACCACCCGTCTCAACGAGACTGAAAATTCCTTCCCATTGAGTCAGTCTCCTCCAACTGAGGTGGATACATGAGGTACTTTTATTCTGACTGGGATATTATTCTGATTATTAGTGGAATATCATGGTCCATGTAAACACTCCTATAGAACAGTCAAGTTATTGTCAAATGGCAAAACAAAAGAAAGAGCTAATTAAGTTTGGAAACAGTTAAATGAATACAGCAGAGGATCATTTACATTCAAAATTAGATGGGAATTTTAGTCATCTGCTATCTGGGATTAGCGGTTTACAGGAAGAGGAAAACAGAATAAAGCACACCGGAGCACAGTGTCACTGCTCAGCCCACCTGGTTTGATGTAGACAGTAACTGGGTCTCCTTCATTTTCTCCAACCAGCGCTGTGACACTGACTCCATAAGACACTCCCACTGACAAGTCTCTGAGGTCAAAGGTCGTCTGGTTTCCAGGGATATTCCGTATTTCCTCTGTTCCTGCTGTCATAACGTGAAACAAACAGATACTTTTCACGAACATGTTTTCATTAATAATTTCGCACAAAAAAATCTAAAGAAATTATAAAATAATGCACAAATATCAGTCGGTGTACCGTCTGTGTTCTGGATAATGATGCGGTACTGTGTGGCCCCAGCTACACCTGTCCAGCCAAGTCTGACAGTGCTGCCCAGAGACTCCACCACTCTCAGGTTGGACACTTTCCCCACTGGCTGTTCCTCTGCAACACCAAAGAATTAGGACACTCATGAAAAATGGATACAAGCACAAAAACTTAAGATATTTGCAGGAAATCCTATTCAGAACTAGCTGGAATCTAACCTCCAGCACATTTATGACCCATAAATCAACCCAAAATGAATTTAGAGTTTTGTGCCCCAAGGCTGAGCTACTGACCTCTGGATGTGGTGGAGACAGGTGTGGCTTCCTCACGACCTTCGAACAGCGTGTACAGCTTGATGATATATTCTGTGTTGGGCTGAAGGCCTGTTAGCTCATGGCTGGAAGTGGTTCTAGGAAAGGTCAGGGTCTCGACACGTCCTCCTGGAGACAGAGCAACGGCTCAAAATCACTGGACTTCTATTCATTTTACCTAAAGTATTGGTATCCTTCTACCTGTAACCCAACAGTGGAGCTGGCTTTATATTTGGATACATGTCAGTCAAAACATGTTGGGATAAAACAAGGAATCACAAAATGAGATTTGAAACACTTACATTAATACTTATTAGGCTTGACTTTGCAATTGTTAGCACATACTCATTACATATAAAAAATTATTTCTTGAGATCATTATAAGAACTTTTTCACTTTGCACAGCCCTCCTTACTTCATGTTTTAACGCAGACACAGAAGGATTACCAAAGGCACAAGTGAATGTTTGAGCGTGTGTGTCTGACCTTCCCCCGCCCTCCACTCTAGGCGGTACCCTCGAGAGGATGGGATAATTCTCCAGGTGAGACGAATAGAGGAGGGGCCAGTAGTAGCTGCTCTGAGGACCTGCTGCTCCTGACGCTCTGAGGGAAGAAATGTTATATCATATGGATGTAATTGCATAAGATGACACAGCTATATTCCCATCAATCACTCAATGAAAAATGTAAAAGGACAGGTTCGAACTTTTTCAGGTCTGTATTAACACAGTACTGAAATGCCTGTACTGTATGTACACTGAAAGATTTACTGGTTACTGTAATAATTCCTTCTGTCCATGCCGGCCACAAGAGATCCCTTCCTAAAATGATTCCAGTGTATGTGACAAAACCCACAGTCCCTGTTCTCTCAAGTCTGGAGTTCAGCTGAAGCTAATGTTAGGCTCTACATTAGTGGGTATTGAAAGGACTGGCCAAGTTGTCCCAAAAAGAGCACACAGAGACTGCCAGTGACATTTACAGAACACCAACAGGCAGGCTGGTTTTGGTGAGGTTGTGAAAATCAAATTATATACAAAAATGAAACTAAATAAATCAAGATAAACTTTTCAAGAAAATAAGGAGACATAGCACCTCCAACAGACAAACCAAAGTTACTGCATAATCAATAAAGACAATCAAATAACAATTCTATGCAAAAACAACTAAACTCCTAATTATCCTACCATAGAAATATTAAATATTAAACAACACTCCTGCCCCCCTACAACAGGGGATATGAAGGTACGTCATGTTGTGTGGGACAGGGGCGCCATCTTGTGAGGAACACGCTCTGTTACCTGTGTCTGCAATAGTGGATACCTGCTTACCGTTTGTATTTTCTGTGGTTTATTAGGCTAATTTGGGCCAAAAAGAGAAGTACCATGGAAGGAAAGTGGGGATAGTAACACAAAGCAGTAACTTGGTAATAAAAAGCCCATGACTTTGAAAGACACCCGCCCACCCTCATATACACATCCTCCTGTAGCTTGTAAAGATGTCCCATCCTGACACATCCATCTTAGTAGGGTATCATGTCTTGTGCTGAAGGCTGACAAGAAAAAAACTGAAGGGAAAATAATTGCTCCACGCACAACTGTCAGTGTCACTGGCCATTATGTGAAGTGTTGGAGAAATTCTATGAGGTGTAAAGAGAAACATCTGGAGACTCACGGTTAAGGCCCTTGAGCTTTTCTATTTGATACAACGGAGTATCTCATTGGTCCCAGTGCAAAACAATAAAGAACAACTAAACCAAGCCAGTGATCATGAACACACATGCCAGTTTGAAACCGTTCCAAACCCACAATTCATTTCCTTCAGCCAGATGCAGTTTTCAACACATTCACACACAACCTGCACATATTCATGCCAGTACTTTGGTTATCTTTAGAGTTCAGGAATCTGTTGTGAAATGATAGTGAAACTACTGTTCTGAGGAGGTGCCAATATTCTATAATTGATGGCTAAATAAATCACAGATACAGAGTTTTTCATTGCAGATGGTACCAAACCTCTGCCCCTCGGGCTGCAGGTGTAGTGAACTTGGTTCAAAGAAATGCTCTCTGTGACAAAGAGCAAAGAATGATCTGTACACTGTATGAGGCCACAGGTCTTTTCTTGTTCGCGTGATGAACATGTTAACAAATCAACATGAAAGTGCCAGGTGTCAGTGGGGACCACACAGGTCAGAGAACAGAGCAGAACAGAGCAGAAATCTACAGAGCAATAGGCACCCATTGACGTCTCTTTCAGGCCTTAGAGTCGGACTATACACAAACAAATTCAACATTTTGCTCCATAACACATTTGCTGAATGCCACACAAAGCTATTGAAGTGGTTGGCAATGTGGAAGAAGATAAAAATAAAACCAATGATCATTTCTAAAACTTAAACTTTAAAGATCATGCAGTCTGATGTGCAGGACTTAATGTTAAGCACCCTACATGTTAGAAAACATAATGGTTTTGCTGAATATATTAAAGATATATCTGCATATAAACATGAAAGCTTCATTCAATGTGGTCCTCGCTAAAACCAAAAAATCAAAGTCAACATTTTTTCCTAATGAGAAGGAACAGACAACTCTTCACAAACCACAGACACAGCAAATAGTTGTCACTCTGCTGGTTTACACAGGAACAAACAAGAGAGAAACAAGCTCAGCTAAAGTTTAAGTTACTGCCGTACACAGTATATAGAGCGCTGTATACATCCCGCTTGTTTGATAGCAGAACTGGGCCACACAAATGTTTCCAGTCCTCCATTTCTGCCTGATCTCTGCTCAGCACAGTGGCCCTGCAGTGACTCAGCCCTCATGCAAGTAACACTGGTCTGACTGAAGTGACGCCATATGGGCTTTAGTCACGACAGACAGATGGTGTGTGTGTATAATGAGTGTGTAGGTGTGCTCGAAATGTTCCTTAAACACAACTAAACAGTAACATGTGCAGATTTTCAGAAAAGGGACAAACATCAGAGAACACTGTTGGCCATCTTCTTCATCTGTACTTCCTGTCCCTGTACTCAGAGGGACACAACAGAAGGCAAGCACCTACTCAGAAAGCATTCTTTTACTCAGTCGCATAACAGTATGGAGTGTTGTTTGGGTGTGAAAAAGGTGTCCCTCTGGTGCTCTTCAGTTTGAGGGTCCAACTACCAGTAGCTTAGAATAGTTGAAGGAGTCTGAGGCACTTAAGAGGGTAATTATCTAAAGAGCCTTTAATATCTAACAGCTATTTAGCCAATGACTAGTCAATTAAGTCACTGACTGAATAGCCATGAGATACTAAAGGCTTTTTAAACAATCACCCTCATGAGGGCCCCAAATTTCCTCAACAATTCTAAGCTTTCTTTAACTACAACTACCAATAAAGGACACATTAAGGGATGCAATTTGTGGTATGTATTAGAGAGGAGAGGGTACAACGAACACACGGAAAAAAATCACAGCAGAGACAGATGTTTGGTGCTGTGATGTAGTACCCAAACCACGCCTACCTATCTTGAACCTGGCAGTTGCTACAGGGCCCTCGGTGTTGCCCTCATACAGCGGGATGATGGTGACGATGTACTCAGTGTCGGGCTGCAGTCCGGACAAAGTGTAAAACTCACTGCCACCAGCAACCTCCACCGTCTCCACATTTCGACCTTCGTGGACAGAAATACAAAAATGTAATGATATGTGTGTGCACAATACTGACCAGCAAAAATGTACGTTTAAAATGTTTAAACATATGTATTGTCCCAACCTGTAAATGGTCCCCAGACCAGACGGTAGGCCCGCACACCACTGACGCCTCCCCACCGCACACGAACGCTGCCCTCTGACTCGGTTTCCACTGTTAACTGCTGCACTGACTCAAGGCGCACTGACACATGTAAAAACATGAACACACAGACAACATTTGACAGATGTATTTAGGATTAGGGTTAGGTCTACTGAGTCTACTAGGAAGGACACTAAGAAGGATAATTGCATTGTTAGGGAAGAACATGGATACACTATTGGAATGTGGATAAAGGTAGTGGAAGCCTGTCTAGCTCTGGAGAGACTGAATTATATCGTAAAAAGCAAAGACAATAACTTTGGGTGCTTATGGAGGCCTTATATGGAGTTTTTGATAATTTGAAATCATATGGAAAATCGGTACTTCTGTTTCTATTAAATAATATATGTATTTATTTATTTATTTATTTATTAATTAGTCTGCTAGGGTTGGGGTGATACACACATTTTTGTTTAATTGTTAACCTGCAAATTAATGTGTAATTCAACAAAATTACAACCACTTTCGATCATCATATAAGACAAAAGGCATTAATAATGGGCCCCAGGGTGGACTCACATGTGCGAGCGTTGAGGATGGACGGGGATGCAGAGTTTCGGGGGAATAAGGGGTAGAGGCTGATGACGTACTCCGTATCGGGCAGAAGGGACTCCAAGGTGACAGATGTGGAGTCTGCAGACAGAGCCTGCACCAACAGCTGGGCTGCTGGCTGACCTGCTCTTGCAACCACACAACAGACAAAGCAAATACACGTTACGGGCATGAAGAGGACCAATTAGTGCACTAATAGCAATCACACATTACACTGCACAGTATGTCATTAGACAAATTAGCTGACAACGAGCTGAAAAAATATGGGATGTGTCCTTACTTCATTACCTTTACCTCACTCTCACCTCAGAGCACAAAGCATGGCAGCCAGCTGTAGAGACGTATTGTTCGGAGGCAGAGCATAATGTGTGCATGTGCATGTCCTGTGTGTGCTTGTGTGTCTGTCAGTATCTGTTTAGTTTGTTTAAATTATCAGTGCGAGTACGGGCAGACAGGAACAGGTAGAAACACCTCACCTCTCATTACAGGATACACACTGATCTTATTTAAATACTCTCACACATACGTGCCAGCCTAACTAGTCAGAGGAGAAGCTCCATGTGAGACTGGCACTCCTGCCACATGTTTGGAGGGAGAAACTGTTTATATCAGCCCTCAGGGGCCACTTTTCTCTCCTGAATCATGGCATAAGCACCCAGACATCTTGACACTGTTATGATCTATGCCACACCCTGTCTCTAGAAACATAAGGACAAAATTACTGACGATGCGGGACATAAGTGAAGGTTTTCACTGTCTATCTCAAGTCTGGTGATGATCAAATGCATTTGATATTTTAGGTAATGATTGAGCAATAAAATCCTGACTGACAGCCAGTGCCTGAGGGAGGTAAGGTGTTAGAGAAGATCACGTTCCCCATACTCAACCCCGACTGCTGTTTGTACATTCTCAACATGTTTCCAACTTGCCACCAAAAGGTTATCTGTTATTATGCTATATTATATAACGATATTATACATTTGAAGCTGTTGTAAAATACTCTATAAACACACAGCTGTGACCGCAATTTCAGTATTGCTGCGCCAATTAGCTACCTTTTGTCATGTGGGATGCAGAGCTAAAGAGAGCAAGCCTGAATTGTTTATCATCCTCCAGAACGAGAAAGACACGGAGAGCCTACAGGGATTCATGTTTGATAAACCAGGTAACTTAATCCACCACCCACTCCATCGTCCTTTTAGCTCCATCCAAAGTGGTCAAACTACTCCAACGAGCTATGATAAGTTAACGATGTAACTTTAGCTAGCTTGCATTTTTTCTTTGTAGTCTGTTGGGCTCACTTTTTCCTAGCTATGTTGTCAATTCATTTGATCGCTTGCTCATTTTTGTTACAGTGTAACGTAACTTGGTTAGTCAGCAAATAACCGGGCGAGAGGAAAGTGAGCATAATAGTTGCACATGTGGTTGTTACTGCAACATGATGAGAATTTTTTTTTCTTTCTCCTAATGTTAGATATTTTAAGGCCCATTGGGGGGGAACTTCTTTGGCTCCACATTGCCACAGATTTCAAAAGCAGCTGGCACTTTCCACTGCATCTGTGTTTGCCTGGCAACCATGCTGCTTAATGTTTCTGAGGAACTACATTGCTTGGTGGAAGACTGATTACATGTCATCAATAAATTATTGCATTTTTTGCTGTGTGTTTATTCTGTTAAAACATTGCCAGGTTTGTGTAATATCAGTTTTATAAAAGCAATGAGCCACAAGAGGCCGAGGTTCACAGTGATTTTAGAAAAGCTAAGGGGTTTTAGGCACGATGCCAAATGCCCTTTAGCTGTCCTCAAATCACTGTAAACCACAGGCTCTCTTGGGTTGTTGCTTAATTGACTACTGTACCTTCTTCACCTCCTGCATTTTTACTGTAATCATTCATTCTGTCAAGATTATTTTTCGTGACAAGGTAATTCTTTCATACCAACTAAATGATTTGTCTTTTGAAGTTCAAACGAGGAGAGGGTGGTAATATACTGTGTGTTACTAAGACACAAAAGCACAAGTCAGATGAGAGGCAGAAGAAAATAGAGACAGAGGTATATGTGTGCCTGACCTCGCGGTCCATAGGTGAGTCTGTAGCCTTGTACAGGAGATGAAGGTTGGTCCCAACCCACAGAGAGAGAAAAGAAACCTGCCTCTATCAGGCGTAGACTGGTCACCCCTGGCAGAGACCCTATACGAGGAGAGAAAAAGACACTGCAGGTGTGTGACTGTGATTCATTGAGGGTTCCTGCTTGTGTGAGAAAGGCTGCCTTAGCAATTCTCTGCTGACATTCTCTGCCCTCCACTACTCACTGGTTCGTTGCTTGGCAGAAATAGACTCCCCCACACTGTTGGGGTATTGGGCGATGACAGTCACCAGGTAGTCAGTTCCTGACCTTAGCTCTCGTGCGGTATAGGTCCTCTGACTGGCAGAGACAGTCTCCTGCAGGGAGAGACAGAGGCTAAGACAAGTTTTTGCAAAGTGATTGACTGAAATGGATGGATGAGCCATGGCATTCTGCTATCTTCTTCATGTGTGCCAGGAGAATTTCACTGTTTGCTCTGCCAAATTTTAATCTCTACAGCATCTACACGAAGAAGATCCACCCATTAGACATGTTTATACTTAGCCTGAAGGCACGTGTTTCTCTTGCAAAGCAGGGTTGACTTTGCCTCATAAAACCGCAATTTGCTACCTCAATCTAGGTCACCTCCATGTGTCAATAATACTCTTCAACATCTGGACGCACCTGACGTAGTTCTGCTGTGATGGGCTGACCCAGGCCAGAGAGTGGCACATATTGGACCACATAGCCACTCACAGGCCCCCCTGCTGCATTCCAGCGAAACCTGAGAGTATCAGACGTCTGGCCTGTGAACTGGAGGTTGGCTGGACCAGAAAATGCCTCTGAAGGAAGAGGAGAGGGTGGAAGCAGGATGAAACATACAACAAATTAAATGCAGGTTTATGGTCTGACAATAAAGTCTGAGATAAAATAAGATCTGACACATTTGTCACTGCATGTCTTTTCAAATACTGATGTTATTTAAGGTCGCCCACATACCATCACTAACGTAGACTCCTCCTGCTTTGGAACACACTCGCTGGCTGACTAGAGGAAGAAGTGTGTTAAGCAGTTTGAAGTCCCCAACAAAGGAGGTGAAATCACTGCTGGGCTGGGAGGAGATCTGGGCCAACTCATTCCTGTCTGCACTCTTTATACCTAAGAGACCACAGAAAATTGGCAAAGTAAAAAAGAAATCACAGTGGCTCATAAACACATCTAAAAAGTCAAAAGTACTCTGAGTAAGAGAGGAGAGACTACAGGTGAGACACTTACCAACCGCAAAAACATGCACTCCTTGGCTGCGCAGCTTCTGTGCTGGTTCCTGCACACCATCCTGGGACTTCCCATCTGTGATCAGGATAGTGATCTGAAAGTTAAGGAGGACACACAGGTAGAAATTAGAAACACAAGATGTGCTATTTTGATTCTTGATTCTTCACCAAATGACCATTTGATTGTCAGTTACTCACCCCATGTTACACTGAATTTGTGAAGAAAAGTGACCTAAAAATAAAATTATCTATGCTCTCTTAAAAGCCAGACTCTATTGACAAAAACAGCAATTTTACCTAAATGAACAGAGGAGCTGCTGGTTTATCAAAGCCTCAATCAGTTAGTTTGTTGGAGTTACTATGTGACTTTGGTGAAACCGAACTAACCCTCAAAAACACCAAAAGTCACACAATAACACAAACAAATGAACTGGCAGTGGTAGACAAGCAGCTCTTGCATTCAGTGGGGTAAAATCACTGTTTTTCTCAACGGAGTCTTGCTTTAAAGAGAGCATAGCTACATTTCATTTTACATTCAGTTCCCCGTCGGATAGGGTTGTCTGGGAAGCACTCAACATATGACTGAATAAATAAGACTCGGATTATGCTACACATATTGTATGAGAGTTTGTAGACAAATCTTTTGATATAGTTTTTTGCTGTTATTAAAAATGGTCGCCTATGACTTCAATTCATCAAGAATGTTCTCCGTTTTGGGATTCTTTGTTCACCAGAGACATGCAAGAAAAAGTTTTCTTTCTGAATTGAGTAATCGATATAAAATGGTCTTTTTTGTGGGCAAAGCATTCCTTTGAAAATGCAGTTTTATAATTATGAAAATCCAAAGAATGGCTGCTCCTCAGACCTTTGGAACATCTCGACTGGACACAGGGTTGAAGAAGTTATCAGCGACAAATTTGAGACCAGCACCAGTGCGTGTGTTTCCACCCTTATAGTTCAGATTCTCTACAGCGTTGACGACCTCGGTGCCAACCAGGTAGGTAGTAAATGTGAATTCCACTCTGGAGGGAGGAAAATGTGCATTAAAGACATAATTGTACACCTGCAGTAAGATCATTTTTGTCATTGCATACACAGGAAAGTAATAAGATGAATATTAACCTGGAGGTGTCGCTGTATTGTATGGCCCCAAAGCGTATCCCTGACTCGCTGACAGAGCCGGCAAATGGCTTGATGATTCCAGCCATAAAGCCTTTCACCTGCAGGAAGTTAGCTCGGCCAATACTGGAGGACCCATCGACCAGGAAAACAATATCTGCTGCTTGCACATTATTACACCTGCCTGCAAATACAAAGTGATACAGAGTACATGTGATCTAAACAGACACACAAACTAAAGCTGCCACAATTAGTTGATTCATCAATTAGTCTGTCAAGAGAAATTAAGTGGTGACTATTTTGATAATCGAAAAATTGTTTAAGCATTTTTTTTTT